GCTTTGACCTGATTTTTCAAATGAACCTAAAATAGCACGTTTTGGATGGGGGCAACCAACCTCATTCCGCAACAGGTTGAAAGCTTCCTTCTCAGCATTTGTGATCGCCGTCGCAGTTTCAACTAGCTGATTACCTAGAGATGACCATAGCTACAACCGATCATTTTAAATGAGACACTTTTCATGGAAGAGGAAGGGGGATAGATAGACCTGGTAAAAATAGGAGCTAGTGGAACCGCTCTCTGATATATTAATGAACAGCGGTGATGCCTTCACAGCAGCCTGGTCTCTCCTCGAGCGACCGATGTGGACATGCATTCCTTGCGCAGGAGAAGTCCGCAGGGTCAAAGAAGGTGCTTCTGCTCAAGTGAGTCAGCAGCGGCCCGTTGGAAGATATGTGCCTCACCATAGTCTATTTGAAGTTGACGTTCCATTTTCCTTCTTTGCTCTAGTAAGTCGACGAGGTTGTTATGCAGAGATGCCAATTGCGGAGAAAATCTAAACCATGAAACGTAAGCAATGAGGGTAGGGTCTGGATCGACAATGCTGCGTACTCTGGTCGAATGAAACACCTAGAGGGTATATCAAACTTGAAACCAATTTTGCTGGGCTCCTCTGCGTCTGTTGGCAGAGAGCCACTGGCGTCTTGATCATCTCTCGACTCGTCCGTAGTTTCAATATTTCGCAAAGCCAGATTAATTCGACTCTCGAGGTCTTGGAGATCTGCCATTCGACATAAAAGAGTATCGACACTTGACCAATCTTCCGAAAGCAGAAAGCCTCGTTCCGAGCTTTCCATCTGCTTCTCGAGTTCCAAGCGCTTGCGGATTGCACTCCAAACGTTAATCGTCTTGCTGATCGAAACCAAATCGCCAGGATCACCTCGCCCAAGAAGGAATCTCTGAACAATTCGTGTCGTGTCTTCGACTTCGTCCAAGAACTGCCTGACATCGCTGAGTAAATGTGGCCTGGCATGAAAGAAGGCTACCAATGACTGCCGAGCTTGTATTTCTTTGACTGATGTGCTCGGTGAGCCTGAGTATGTGTTGAGGGCTTTGAAATTCCATCAAATAACAAAAACCTACACAACCATCGAGCCAGTAGACGTGTTCCGCTGCGTGTTACAGTCCTTTTAACGACGCTCAGCAAGCTACCTGTTGTGCCACCTTCTCGCGTGCTTTCCCTAATTTCAAGTGCCTTGATAGTATGAGAGTCGATTTGCATGCGCTCCATGTTGCCTTCGCGGCTTGGCATTGAGAGACTTGGCATGTGCTCCAACAGGTGAACGTGCAGAAAGTTGGTAAGAATTGTGATAGCGGACGACTCCCCAGGAGAATACGCAGATGGAACAGAAGTCAAGTCCCCTTCCAGTTTGTTGAGGTCACCTGGAGCAGCAGCAGCCTGGGGCAAATCCTTCACCAAGGTACCTTGAGAAGGTGTAACATACGAAACAAAGTGGCCTTCGTCCACAAGCAGCTGATGAATGGGATGCGAGAAGTTGGCTTGGAGTTTATCCTCTAGGACAACCTCTCGCGGGCAAATCCTCGCCAGGTCATCTTTCAGAGCCTCCCTAGACGACGTCTTTACGAAAAATTCACCTGTAGAAACGTCGATCCAGGCTAATCCTATAGGAGTGGCATCCAATTCTTGCATCGTGCCATTAACGCTGATGGACAATAGATAGTTGTTTTCAAACTGGTTGATGAATGGCTCATCGATAAGTGTCCCAGGGGTTATCACGCGAACTACTCGTCTATCGAACTCGGGTTTCTGGCCTGACGCAGAATATCGAGGAAATTCTTCGCACATGGCGACGAACCGTTTATTTTGTTGGACAAGCACTTTGAGATACTTGTCCAGATACATGAATGGGAAACCGCACATGGCGATACTTTGCTTGTCCCAGACGCGAGAAGTCAGCTTGATGTTCAGTAGTCGAGCGACCTCGATTGCTTGGTCAAAGTAGGACTGCACAGAACCAGTTAAGTGAAGTCCGTCAAAGTAGAGACGAGCGCGTCGCACCTCATAAAATTGACCAACACGAGTCAGGAGGATACAATGGGGAAATTTAGCAAGGTTGTTCAGGATCTCAGTGGCAAGCATGTTGCGCGGCTGTTTTGGAGGTGGAGTACAGTCTTCCGAGTCGTCTACCTTTATTTTTCGACGCCGGCGAATCTTCATTGGAGTGTCGGTAGTTGCGGGGACGTCTGCTCCTGTTAGAAATACATGACAGTCTGCAATCGATCGGCTGAGGAATGAATGTACCTGTGTCGGTAGTGAGAGAACAATCAGATACCGCTGCTTTTCGTCGACCTCTGTGTTTTCTGGGTTGTTCTTCCTCGACAACTGCACTACCTTGCTGCGATTGAGTATCCAAACCTTGTTTGTTTATTACACTCCTTTCAAGTGCATCAGAGGAATCCTTGGTGACGTTCGAGCGAAAAGCTGGATAGACCGCATGCGCATTTACTTTTCATAAGGAAGGGATATCAAAAATACATCTGAATTGCGTACAAGAAGGAATTACAAGATCATTAGGGACGCTCGCGTCACTTGTGCTCTGCAGCTTGGCAGAAGGAGCTAGAAGCGAATGATCCTTCACCACGACGCGTCGCTTCGGCAGCTCTGAAAATTTCTTCCTTGTGATGGTCACCGAGGAGCGTAAAGCCTTAACTGTAACCGCGTCATCGAGACAAGACACGAAACCTGAATGAAAAGGGCGCATCTGGAGGTCGGGCAGCAACCCCCGTCTGCCACAACAAGACGTGCGACGACATGCCGTACTAAGAACTATCATTCCAAAGCGCGTTAGTTATTGTTCAATGTAAAGTTAGAGATGCACGGTGGAGAGAAGTGCTACACAGTATTCGGTCCCGTCGCGACAGTGGCGCGGCTGAGCGGAGTTTTAATGGGACGAAGTCAACTTTCCCCTTCGTCTCTGCTTTGCTCTGCACGCAAGTGAAGCAACCCAAAGTTACTCAAACTTCCCACAAAATGTCTTTCGCCGGCAGACGCAGAGGAAACAAGGTCAAGAAGGGTGTCCAGTTCACCCTGATGGTCGTTGGTCAGTCGCTTTCCACATGCTATTTCGACTTGTTCGGTGTTTGTTGACCGGTCGATTTTCTCAACGTGTTGCAGGTGCCTCTGGAACTGGCCGTACGACCTTTGTGAATACCCTTTGCGAGTCCGAAGTCCTGGTGCACAAGGTCTCCGACAACCCAGATACCGCGCACATTGAGGAGGGTATCAGGATTAAGCCTGCCAACGTCGGTTAGTTGCACCAGTCATGTATTGTTTACACCTTATTTAAACACGTCATGCATTGTCACAGAGTTGGAGGAGGATGGCGTTCGCATTGCCCTTACCATTGTTGACACGCCTGGTTTTGGGGACAACATCGACAATGAGTTTGCGTTCGTATATACCCATCCTTACATATCTCACTGAATAACGTTTGGTTTTAGCTTCCAAGAAATTGTTGGCTACCTCGAGCGTCAATACGATGATATTTTGGCTGAGGAGTCTCGTATTAAACGTAACCCTCGCTTCAGGGATAACCGTGTGCATGCGCTCTTGTACTTCATCCCTCCGACGGGTCATTCGTACGCATATTTTTGTGCGTCACGTTGATATGGTACGCTAACTGGGCTATGATATAGCCTGAGGGAGATGGATATTGAGCTGATGCGCCGCCTTTCGCCTCGTGTTAATGTGATTCCTGTTATTGGAAAAGCAGATTCTTTGACACCCAGCGAGCTTCGGGGATTCAAGAAGCGGGTTCGTTCTCCCGGTTTTATTTTTTGATCTGTGTTGACGCGATGTTGTAGATCATGGAGGATATCGAGCACTACGACATCCCCGTCTACAACTTCCCTTACGACGTGGAGGAAGACGACGAGGAGACCATTCAGGACAACAGCGAGTTGCGGGTATGTGACATAATTTGAGTCTAAGCTGGCCATTTACGTAAATGCCGCAGGCATTACTTCCTTTTGCCATCATCGGTTCGGAGGAAGAAATCGAACTGGACGGGCAACCGGTACGCGCTAGGATATACCCTTGGGGTGTTGCCGAGGTCGACAACCCAAAACATTCCGACTTTAGCAGACTACGGAGTGCATTGTTGAAGTCAGTGCGATCTTGCATTTTGTAGAAAATGCTAAAGGAGTTGGTTTAGCTCCCACCTTGGTGACCTGAAGTCACTGACGCATGACGTGCTTTACGAGACTTACCGTACTGAGAAGCTTTCTCGAACGGTGCACGCCGACACCCAGTGAGAATATTGATTTGATGCTGACGTCCACACTAATCAATAAATCGTGTAGCGATTCTTCTATTCTCCCAGAAGAGCTGGCAACTCAGAGCGTGCGTCTGAAAGAAGAGCAGCTTCGCAGGGAAGAGGAGAAAGTAAGTGATAATAAACCGTTGATTTTGATTATGCTGACGAACTCTTCTTGTGGACGAATAGCTTCGTGAGATCGAACTCAAAGTTCAGCGAGAGATCAACGAAAAGCGACAAGAGCTTTTGGCCAAAGAAGAATCGCTCAGGTAAGTTTCTATGGAAATGTGCGGAGTAAAGTTTTGGCTGATGTGAAGATAACTTAGAAATTTGGAGAGTCGTCTTGTTGCTCAAGGGTCTCAGGCAGAATTCCGAGACTGAAAGTAAGTGGATGGTTAGATATGTTGGGCACTATGGTCGACAACTATACCCTCCCTGTGTGCAAAATCCTTCCTCACTTGTCCGCCCGCTCGTTTTCCGTCTACTCTGCGATTTTATATATACCGGATAATCCATTGCCATTCCTTACGCGAAATTTACCCAGCTTTCGAGGCTTCTTGACAGTTCGTAATCGTTTTTTAGTGGAAATGCATTCGAAGAGACATTTGCTGCTTTTACGTTTTCCAATTATTTTTTTGTGTCTAAGATGATGATCTATGAATGTGTTTTTGAGTTTCGGAGCTGAGTGAGATACCAAACTCGGATCGTTGTTGACGTTGAGCACGTTGGTGTGGACTACGCTCTTTAGTTTCGGTTCTCGATAGCTAGACCATAGGGAGATATCTTGAGATATCTTGCTACTGAAATCCTGTTTCGGGTTTATATCAACATTGAAGGAGGGAACTCTGCTCATCGAGCTCCCCGTCATGGAACCCGAGTTTAATACTCGCCCACTCTCTATAATTCATCGTCCACGCCCATCCCAAGATCACGCGTCTCCTCCCTCTTCACCTGTACCTCCTCCTTCATCCTTCACCCTTACATCTCGTCGTCGTTCTTCCGCCGCCAACTTTCCTCCCGCAGGCCCACCACCGAGTCAACCAATTCCAAGTCTACCATCAGCTCCAATCTGCCATCCTGATGATGTTGAACCTTCTTCCGAAGAACTTCCATATACTACAAGACACAGGTCAAGCACTAGTGGTAGTGGTCCTAGCCACGCCAATAATGGTAGACCTTCAGCCTCTGCAAATCTCGCTGCAATAGCCGCGTTTCAAACAAGGCAAGCCTCTACTTCCGTGTCCAACAGTCCCCAGCCTTCTTCCAGCACCGTCGCACATGACCCCAGCCTTTTTTCCGACCCCTCGCATAGATCTATCCTTCAGCCAACGTCATCTTCACACCACCAGGATATCGTGCCTGACCGTCTCTTGTTGTCACCGGCTCAGTCTCGCACACCCTCCCAATCTCGCCCATCTTCAAGACGTGCCCTCACAAGAGCCTTGGAACTCGCCCGTGAAGCAGTCCAGTTAGATTCTACCAACGATGACCCCCATGCTGCTGTCATGGCATACGGTCGAAGTGTCGCTTTGCTTAGTGAAGTTATGGAGCGAGTAAGAAGAGGCGAAGACAGCACAGAGCGTCCAAGACGAAATGGCAGGCGGAGAAGTGTGGTCGCACAAGAAGAAGAAGTCAGACGTCTTAAATCAATAGTAAGAAATTTCCTCATTCCAGTCCCGAATCCATCCTGATTTCATTTTATCCCTTTCAGCACGACACTTATGCTGACCGTATGAACATTCTCAGCCTGATATACAGTATACCTCCCATACCCCACTCCCCATCCTCTGTCTACGCCCCTTCCACATCTACAGAGTCCACACAACCTGGATCACCATCGTCCATCTCACCCACTTCTGACTCTCATAAAGTCTCTTCGTATCCAACGGAACACACTCAAGACGAGCCTCAGCACGTCGGAGTACTTAACCATAACCATGATGACGACAATGATGGCCATGAAGGCATTGGAGCTGCCCTTCTCAATGCTACTTATTTGTCCACTGAATTCGGTCAAAGAACCAATGGCATATCACCTCAACATCCTTATGCTGCACCTCTGTCACCTCTTTCATCATCTGGTCCACAAGATTCCAATAATTCTCTTAACCGAAACGCAACCCTTCCGGCGAACCGCACCCAATATACCCCATCAGTCACTGGCCGACCTCGAGCAGCTTCTATTTTTCCTCCCGCCGCCCCACCTCCAACTTTGTCTCCTCTACCACCACCCCCAGACTCTGCCGTACCCGCCATGTCCGCAACGATGCCTTCACAGACCGGCAGGTTCCTAGAAGCTACCTGCCCACGCGGAAATTCAATTGGACACAGACGAACAGGGTCAGGAACTAGACTGACTGCCGTCACTGAAGAGGGCGTCAGGATTGTGGGCCCTCCCACTCTAGAGAACCTATACGACCAAGATCTTACAGCTTCCTTACCCCGACGGCCTGACACGCCACGCACTGCAATCCGGGACTCTCACCCACTACCCCCACTTCCTTCACCCACAGCCACATCATACTCTATACGGTCACTGGAATCGCCACCACAACAAGTTGTTGTTCCACGAGTCCGCGGAGAGTCGATGAGCGTGATCAGTGGTCAACAATTGATCAGCACCTCCCTGGCGATGGGTACGATTCATCAGAGGCGCACCAAGATGTCTGCTCCCCCTTCTACCGACAGCCCTTCGCCTACTGAATCACATTCACCGTCGATATTCTCTCTTCCCACCCCGAAGCCTGCCGGATCACCGGTACCCCCTAACACAGTACCTCTCGTAGTTGGACGACATCGCGCGTCGTCACAGCCAGGACGACGGCCTTCTGTAGCTAATGGCCGTATCTCCCCGTTCGATGTTCAACGACCCCCATTACCACACACAGCAGGGCTTAACGGACTAATACCCCGTAAAATGTCCAATCCTTCCAAGTTGCAGCAGAACATCAGCATTAATATACCACAACTGCCGCAATTGACTCTGCAGACAGAATTATTATCCCCGTCTCTGGCATTAGCGCTGGTACCTCCACCAGCCCTGATATCCAATTTGCCGACTACACCCACTTCTCCGCTTCCACCCGCTCCACCCGCTGACAGTCAAAGGAAGCCGTATCATATGATGGCACTCCTGGCGAATACCATGACCTCAAAGTCTGGTGGTTACATCACCAGACGATTGCATGTGCCGCAAGAGGTTTGGTCACAAGGAGGGGCTAAGCTCACAAACATACCAGAGAAAGTCCGCGTTGTAGAGGTACTCTGCTCAGCCCTGGAGGAGATGCAGCAATGCAGCGTGGAATCTTTTGGCGCGAGCGTCGGCAGTGGACTAGCTTTGGGTATCGGCAGTGTAACTCGCAAGGAAGCTGAGACATGGGTAGGTAAATTAGAGGAGTTTTCCTCGATATGCGATAGTGTCGTCGCAAACTTTGGCAAGAAGCTTAGTGTAGGCGAAGGTTTTGTTGTTAAGAAAAGTGGGGGGGTAAGTTTCAAGACGGTTTATTCGTCCTCGTAAGTTGACACTACTTGTTTCTTCAGGTAACATCATGGGGAGGTAAACTCACTCGGCAGATTGACAAGTTTACCAACGGAAAAAAGTTCGTGTCTCGCTTTCATTGCATCCTTGACTTGTATTAACGTATGAAATAGCCTCGATTCGCCTGCTGCTTATGTGTCTGGATTAAATAAGCTGTTTACTATAGCTCAGCTTATCGATGAACATACAAAGGCATTGTTATCGCAGCCAGTCGCAGCCACATACGCAGCGTTCCCTATAGATCTCCGGGCTGCTGCAGAAGTCAAGCTAAAACGCGCTTCCGAGTTCTTTGCGAGCGTCGTGCTGACATTCGTCATCCGTGACCTGGCGCAGCTGCTCGACAAGTACGCCAAAAAGTGCGAAAAGTGGCTCGCAGAATAGTGAGGCAAACCCCCATTCCCTCGGTCTGCGAAGCTGTAATACTGTTACGAAGCAGTATGTGTTTTATTTCGGGACTAGATGGGTTCACCAGAATATGTTTTAGCTTACATTTTTAGTTTATTTATTCTACTTTTTTCGCGTTCTTTTTTTGCGTGTTTTTTTCCGCGCCTTTGTCTTTGTCTTCGTTCGGTGCACCTCTCACGTCCCCTCCCTTGCATACTATACATTACACACTTTGGAATTCTGTGCATATTGAATGTAGGCTACAAATCAATTGCTCAAACTGCCGAATGTTCCGATGTCCAGATGTAGTCTATACAGCCAGTACATACAACAAACTAAAAGAACAAGGAGGTAGACAATATAGTACATGACGCAGTCTATCAATTCTAAGTTTTCAGAATACAGAGGGTACACGCCCAGCGTGGGCCTCGAAGTGTGATGACCGTACGGTCATTGGAGTTCCATATGCAGGCTCTTCTCCTTCGGGAGTTGGTGGCCTGCCTCTTAGGCGAGAGATGACCTGCATCCTCTTGACTGCGACCCATCTTAGGGAACATTATGGAGGAGAAAATGACATTAACGCACTATAGTCTGTTCGGACGTGACTATCGTGACATTCCTCATCTGAGTCAACGAGAGGATCGGTGGTCATGACAGTATGCCAGGCATCTGAAGTTCAACAAACGGAATAATGAGCCATATCACATAGGAACCTGAAGGGTAGCTTACGCTGCAGCATGTTGCGTTCAGGGCCTGGCATGCTCGATCTCCGTGATCGCGGTGGTGGTCGTGGGGTGACGTTCGGTACGCTGGGTCTTCGCGCTGAGCGTATGTCAGTGGGCATGCGGCGATATGGGGGATCTGATGGGGAGTGTGGACGACGATGGCGCTGACGCTCCAGAATATGAGAAGGCACTGTTACAACTGGAATGTGGGTGTGAGCAGCGGACTGGGGCAAGATAGCATCTCGACATACGTTCAGACCGTCGTTCTTCTCTGCTGGCGTGTACATCTAACAGGTCTCTCGCTGCAGGATTGGCGGCTTTTCGTTTCCGAGAGGTACTCGTAGTTGGTTGTGGACCTGTTAAATTTGGGGTGTGGGTGTCGTCTTCGGCTTTGATTGTAGCCCTGCTTCTCCTTTTTGCTGGGACTTTCTTTTCAGACATGGCCGGACTCTGAGGCGTCTGAAGGACTCAGACTTGCGGTGAAGAGTCGGAAGGGATGAGGGTGAACTGTTATAGCGAGCGCCTTCGCAGGGATTTGGTTCTCAACTTGAATCGGCTGGCTGATGCGGCAACTCGCCAAGCCGCCCTTGCTAATGTGAATCCTTGGCATCCCCGCTCATAATGGATTTTTACTTGCGTTGCTATATGCTATGGCGCAGGTCAGTTTTACTAACTGGCCGAAGCTGATGTCACTGTCTCCTTAGTATTTTCATTATTAGCCGCTGTGCGGCAAAAAACAGGTATGTGCACATATTATTTTTGGGCTGGGCCTCGAACACAGGCATGCCATCACGATGATGCGCCGGTGTCACCTCAGCAAGCGCCTATCTCTAGTTCACGATGGCAGGGTCCAAGGTCACCATGTCCTACGTGTAACTTGTCCAAGAAGTTCTACGAACGAACCATTGCAAGACACATCGAATCATCATCATGATAGCGGGTTGACCTATACTTAATTCTAGAGGATAGTGTCTCGCAACGTTTCACTCCGCGTTTTTGCTATGTTCGCTAGGCTGTGGCCTCAAATGATTTCACAACGTTCAACTCTGTGTCTGTCTTTGCCTCTCAGGGAAGCTGTGCGTTCCACAAATAAGTGGATATTTGCCATGCTATAACGAGGTAGAATCATCGATGGAGGAAACCCTGCCTGCTTCTTCTTTTTATTTCTTTGTTCTTGAGCTCTGGAGCTCGGCGCCGGGGAGATGCTGCGCACCTTCATTCGCCTTTTCAACTCTCATTTCGTACTCCGTACTTTATACTTCATTTCTTTGTTTAATCTCCTTTGCTGGTCCTTTCACGATGTTCAAGCTGCTCCCGTGCGCATTTCAGTTGGCCCACAAGAACAGGAAATCTGCGTATCTTCCGAGGCGACTGTACTTAGCCCAGCTACCGTCGTTGGCCAAAATTATGGTACGCATTCTTCGAAAATCAACAAATAAAGACGATTTTACTCTATCTGCAGTTTTCAACCAATCTTACGGCTTACAGCGTGTAGCTAGAGATTCAGGACTTGATGGAGATATCGTCTCAGCCTCTGACGGTAAGTTCATATTAACCCGTCTGTATTTTCTCCTAACCTCGTGATAGTTTCCACAGCAACAACGTCGGCGATGCCATTCACGAGCACTGGAGCTACGGCAACTCCACCCAGTTCATCGCCATCGACATCGGATTCGAGCACGTCTTCTGCGTCTTCCTCAAGCTTGTTTCAGTTGGAGACTAGGGGGTCTTCTGCAGGAACTGATAGCCCTACGTCATCACCTAATCCCGCAGGAACGTTTCCAGTCACGCCCCCTACATCATTTACGCTTACTACCCCATCTTTTCCCCTACTGTTCCGACATCAGTGACAACGGCGGCCGAATGTTTCCCATCCTCTCCTGTGCTCGAAGGGTCGTTTCCATCGACGCTTTCTGCATCACAAGAAACATCTTCAGCTACTGCTCTATTTTTGGCCCCTGATGTCCCACCATCGGTGACCACAGTAGTCAGTGATTGTGTTTCATCCTTAGCTATACCCGGAGGGCCTTCTTCTGTAACGTCCTCTGCATCATTAGGCATACTGCCACCTACTGCTCCATCTTTACCTCTTGCTGTTCCGCCATCAGTGGCACCGGTGGTAACTAGTCCTCCTGCGATTTTGCCCACAATCGAGGGATTACCTCCAATGTTACCCCCTGCATCATCGGAAACACCTATGATTACTTTCCCCCCTCCCATAGTTACTCCTCTCCTACCTCCCATTTCTCCCGCTGTCCCTGTTCGTCCCCTTGCCCCTATCCCTCCCCTTGTCACTTCCCTTCTACCTCCTGTTGTCACTCACTCTCCATCTCCTGTTGTTCCAGCAGCTTCATTAGTGACAATAACCTCACAAAGTACTGCTAGCCCGGCTACCGCGACATCACCGACACCTCTTTCCACATTTGTGTCTTCCACACTCGTTACGCCATCCCCCACAACCACGTCCACCTCATCAGCGCCTAACGCGCAGTCACATTCAAGTTCGCAGCAGGCATCGTCGTCACTGACACCGTCGCCTTCACCACAAAGCGACGCTGTGTCATCGCCACGGCTTGCAGGGTCTTTGATTGCCATCATCACAGTACTTTCATTCCTTGGTGCACTTTCGTTGATCCTTGGAGTCATTCTCTTCTTTCGCACCAGATGGCGATACCGCCGTATTGCACAGATGCAACCCCTTAAAGAAGATTTTCGACCCTCGCCACTGAACTTGTCTTCCAGGTTTTCTGTCTCAACCACAGGATCATTGGAGCGACTTAGGTCTTTTACACTTAATTCGAGACCTCCTACGGCATGAAGTCCACTGTCACTTCCTCGTCCCATCATTATGATCGTTCCACCAATCATAATGATGGTGTACTTCCAAGGTCTTCCTGATGACAGCTTCAAGACAGGAACGAGGCCTTTAGATTGTTGTAACACGAGGGAAGGGATTTCACAATGAATAATTATGGAGTTTGTTACAGTCGGCGTCTACAACACATTAATAATGACGTTTAAACAACAAATTATACCGAAGGTATCAAGTGCGAGGAAGGCAAAGTACAGTGAGATCCTTCCGATGAGCGAACGTGGGTATGTACAGAAAACGAATGCATATCGCAAGGGGAATCATTGGGTTATGGAAGCGAGTATTAGTGTATAGGTAAGCGGAAGGAAGGAAATGTTGCGTGAAAAGTTGTCCCTCCAAAGCAAGTAAAAGCAAACTAAGACGCAAGGCAAAAAACGACATCACCAGAACTCTCTAACTCGCTCTAAAACCTCCACAACGACCGAGCTCTTATACATGAGAGCATGGTCAGCACCTTTCACGACTTTGACGTGACAACGATCTTCGCCCATCGCCTTTTCCATCCACCGCACGGCATTTTCGGCAATCTTCTCGTCCTTATCCCCATACCAAACCTGGACCTTGTGAGGGAAGTCGCTATACGAGAAGCCCCAAGGACGATTGTCATGATTGAGGATCTGCAGAAGGTCGCTGTGCGTCCCTTTCGATGCTTCCGCGTGAGACGCCGCAATGAGAGCATTGGCGAGAGCAGTTTGATACGCAGTTGATGTAGTTTGAACACTCAGATGTGGAGAGGATAAAGTGCTCGCAGGGGGGGATGATGGAACGCTCGGCGGGCTTAGTCTCGATACACTTGTGGTGGACGCACTGAAGGATATAGAGCGCTGGCCGGTTTGTCGAGGAAGAAGCTGAAGCGGGGGTTTATCGAAAGGCAACTTGAATTCGACGGGTTTGGCTAGTTGACAAGGGGTGGAGGGGTTGGTATAGGGCTAGGTGAGGATCGAACCTTCGTGGCATCCCAATCAATTTCACCAAGACCTAAGCCCGTGTCTAACGACAATGGTTGAGGGAGCTGCGGACTTGGGATATCAGTCTTCTTGTGTGTGTTGGGGGTAAATGATGATTTGCCCGTGAGGGAACCCATAGATCTCAAAGTCTTGAGCGTTTTCCCGACGGTTGAGGTGGGAGGAGACTCGATAGCAGGTGAAGGAGGCTGAGAAATTGCTTTGGACGCTTTAAGTCTACCTAAAATTCCTCGAGAAGGTTTTCCTCTGCTCTGTTGTGTCATTGAGCGTGCGCCAAGCGTGCTTTGGCTCCCAAAACGACCATCAAAATCCCGTAGATCGTCATAATCACTGGACAGAACAGAACCTAAGCTCATCCGCCTCTTGGTGATATCCGATAGGTAAATAGTGTTTCTGCCGGGACTCTGAGGTTGCGAGGAAGGTTCGACTCCATTACCAGACGTTGACTTTCCATTCTGAAATCTGGGGGACAGCGGTGCGGTGTAACCGATTCCCCGGTAAGCGACGGTTGGCGGCTTTCCTATCATCCATGCCTGTATCTTCCACTCTGCTGCCTGCGCGGTCTTCAGAATGCCATTGGGGACATACTTTAGCCACCGGTATCCTCCTGTACATCAGATGAGGGAAAGAAGCACAATCGCAAGTCCCTCCAGCACTCACCGCTTTCGGAGCCACCTATCCATGGCGCTAGTAGACAAAGGTCACCCCGAATACGATTAGGAACACGGTTAGCAAATGCCAAGGCGTAAGGTGCGCCGGCTGAATGGGCAACGATGCTGCACTCATTTATTTTTAGCTGGTCGAGAACCTCCTCAACAGCTGCCGCCCATTCCATGATGCCCCTTGCAGATTTGGAATGTGGAATCTCGGTACGGCCTAGACCCCATCTGTACGAATGTCAGTGAAGCTATTGTTAGTCAACAAGCAGAAACTTACCTATCTATAGCAATCAGACGAAGGCCAAGGCAGTCTGCCATTTCATCGTACAAACCCATGATGTGTCTGACACAGCCTAGACCAAGAAATACAACGAGGGGAAAGCCATTTGGATCACCCATATCCGCAAGGCTGACAGTCAGAGGGTGATCAAGTGATGCGTGAGGGGATCGCGTAAGTTTCAGCAAAGTTGTCAATCTAGCGGAGCGAAGATATTCTGCTATGGCTTGGGGTACGGATGTAGGAGAAATGGAAATAGGAATGAGGTCCAATGAGTACTGCGAATTCCGTGCTGATGCAGTCGATGAATGGGAGTAAACGTCTGAGGGTGCCCTGTGAAGTCGCACACTTGAGCTATCCGACATGTTCGAAGGCATAGCGGTGAGTGGGGGAGCACGAGGTGATGCAAGTGGGGGTACAATATGTGATTTCTTCTGGTTATGGTACGTGCGGCGGACTTCATCTGCAATGCTATCAAGGGAAGACCTGCCCAACGGTTCAGCTTCTGTATCAGGCGTGAGGAACTCAGCCTCGGATTCCTCGTTCTCAACACCATTGGTATGACCATCGGTGTGAATATCACTGGGCACGTGTTTTTGGGGTTCTCTAGAGCGGTTCTGAGCAGAAGCGGGAGCGTGGTTCCGAATGATTTCCGAAATAGAAGGAACAACAGTTCTTGGGCGCTCTGGTAGTTGCACAAGAGCGACTGGAAGGTCATCAACAGAGTCATTAAGTACCGAAGAGGTAACCTCATACAACCCTGAGTCGACTGTGATTGTGGACGAGGAACCTTTTTGTGCAGAACTAGGTCGCAGACGAGCACGGCGAGTACGACGAGTGGGAGGCGATGGTCTTGGTTCATCTTCATCTTCATCTGAAGGTACTATTTTATCTTGTCGTCGACTTTTCCCTCTGCCAAGAACTACACCGGGTGGAGGAGTGGGTAGAGGTGGTTGGTATAGAGGGTGATGTCTTGCATTATTACCAAACCTTGAGCGACTAGAGGAGCTTTTCCCGAAGAAATCTTCCATCGTAAAGCCATTCATCCCATCAACCAGCGCATCCATGGCCTCCACCCCGGAAACCGGAGCCGAGACGACTACCGGGAAATGGCTGAGGGAGTAATTCCTGATGGAAGATGAATTTAATGGTGTTTGCGGGGGTGATTCCGCAAAACTGGAGGTTTCGACGGAGAGCCGGAGTGATGGAACGGGGGTCTCTTTCCACTTTGACTTGGCGGATGATGGACCTGTACGTGTCCGATGACGCGGGATCCTCGGAGTGATATCACCCCCTGACGAGAAGTCGGGGACCTCAAGAGCAAGATCCACAGTTGGAAATGCGTATGAAAGCTGAGTCGTTTTCTCTTTCTCTTTGCCTTTGTCCTGATCAAATTTCCTGGAATGCTTCCGCAGAAGATCGTGAGCATGAAAGGTACGACCTGGACTCAATTGGGACCTTGAATGAATGTCGAAGCAGTCTGGCGAGACACGAATAGGAGCAGGGGAAGGGTGTTTAGCGTCTGAAGAAATGGTGGGCCTGTGGACGTCACGTCTGGAGGACAAGAGGGGGTCACGGTTGGATTTCCGGAGAGGACGGTCAGTTCCCATACTAGTGTTTGAGTTCGACATCACGTAGGCAAAAAAAGAACGATGCAAAGCCTAAAGGCCCTGATGAATTTTACGCAAGTACTCCTCCCGAGTGGGAACCTTCTAAAACGCTTCAAAGACCTATTTCGTAGTGTCCAATGCTTTTATTGACCCAACATACTAGAGCGTACCTTAAGTTCACCTCCTCCACCAACACGTTACCGCTAACGTTGTCGGCTGGTACCAAGCGCTGTGGCGCCAGCTCAACGCAGCAGAATAAGGATCCGTGACTGAGCGTCTGATATGGCGTCAGCTTGTTTGATAAGAAAACAAGCCAGAATTCTGGCACAGGGATGGAGAACGTGTAGTAGTGCTTAGTCGAGTGCCTGTTTTCGTTGCTGGTGAACAACACTGCCACTCAGTACTCAGTTTTCGGGTTCAATCCGAGTCGGACATATGATGGGGCTTAAAAGTTATAATATGTAATTTCAACCTGCAACTTGAATTCGACTTCAACAAGTACCACATGCTTCTTGCTCTCAACTCCTTCTGGAACCTGCGGTAAGTGTACGTGCCAGTACCGATAAAACTCTTACGTGTAACAGTGGTTACGACACGGCCCGTCCTCAGCAGCGTCACCGACTTTTACAACTACAGCCTCAGCTGAAGGACCCTCTGCCGTCCCCGCTTTGGATTGGAATCATGAAACACGATACAAGATACGCTAGATATAATTCCCTTCCATTGGTTTTGCAGAAAGGGCATTCAGCGTTCACTTGTTGGAGTAAGTGTTTTTTTTTAATCCATGTCATAATAGGCACTATAGGCTGCCGTGACGTAGTACTTGCTTGACAACGCCCTAACCCGAACGATTTTATTTTTAGAGCCACCTCAAAACAAGATGTTTATGTAGGACTCCAATTGGATTCGAGTCCGATTGAACAGTTGGACGTCCAGCGTTGAACGTTTGAACGTGCACGCTATCATATGCATAATAGGTGAGCTCATCGCGTTTTGCGTTCCAAGCGCCAATACCGGGTGTATCATACTTGGCACGTAATTTTGTTAGCGCCGTGAAAGCTGTCCTTCAACTAGCAAATCCGAACCCGCCTTGTGTGACAACGTGGTCAATGAATTTTTCAGGGTGCCGAACTAACCCGCGCGCAGCACCTACCAACGTGCTATCTGGTATTACAAGGTGATCTCACCTTCCGGCAACACTATCTGAATCAGTGGTGACTGTAACCGTTGCACAACTATGTCAGGACGTCGCGCAGTGCCTCGGTGAAAACTTGACCTGAGTCTTTGATCATGACTTTTTTTAGAAAAAATTCATCCTTTGGGAACTTAGTCCCGCCTAATCTATCGTATGTACGTGTAAGTTCTGGCGTGGTATCGATAGAAATCAAGGACTCCGCTAGCTTGTTGTCGGGCAAGGGCCGTTTTTTTTGCTGAGTTCGTGCAGAGGGAATGATGGGGTGTGAGATGAGTGGTTCCTACTACCTACAGCTCATCCTTTCCTATATTTCAATTCCGCAACAAACAACGTGCCCTACGAGCTGTCCTGGGGTGTGAGAATAGGTTGTGACATTAACTATTTAGTGTCATTACGAAGCTACGCGATCACTGCCTCATCACTTGCGTGCTCAGACAGCGGAACTCCGCAAATACATGATCAGTTGTCTGGACATCAAGGACTGGATTGGTTGCTAGACATTCCGGATAATGGGCGGGCGGTTCATCAACTTCCAGTAGTGGCACAACAAGAAATGGGCTTGTCTACATGAACCTTCGTCTTAAATATACTTTGAAACACCATAACTTGAATAAATACCATGACGCATCCTCGACCAAATTTTCCCTCCCTGCAGAACACTCAGCAAGTATTTCCCTACACAGTATTGTTGGTTGGCACATGTACATGCTCCCGGAAGACAATCGAATTCATGCTGGTTTCTGCATCGCAGTCAGCTATGAGTTTGGCGTGATATTCTCGAATGCTGAGGATCAGGCGTGGTCCCAGCACAAACACCTGCACACCAATAGAATCTGAAGAGCACCACTGAGTGTCGAAATTCCCATAGAACTTGAAATCTACAAAAATGATGAGCAGTGGTTACACGTAGATGCCAGCGACAGGTCAGCGCACCTCGAGCTCTGGAGAGTTAGTAACAAAGTCAAGGCAAGAGGCCCCAACAAAGCTAGCACGTGCGGAACTTGAGCAGAATAAGATAAGTGCATTCACACTACAAACTCACCTTGCAAAATACAGCACGTGAGATCTTATCAGCACCCTGAAACAATCCCCGATGGTCGATTCTGTCGATGGGCCGAGTCGTCGCAGGTGACGGAAATGTTTCACAGCAATCCAGACTGAAAGACACAGTGCGAGGACCTCCCAAACAGTGTTGAGCATCCAAGCTATTGAAAACAGGAGCTCGCCATCTCCCCAAAATGCATAACTGCACATATACATGCCAGAGAGCATCAGCTCCCCTGATGTCCGTCCAATGAGCCATGTTCTTCAGGTCAACAAGTAAACCTTACCCGTTACAATATGCTTGAGTATTATTGCCACAAGTACTCCGCAGACGACGTTGACAGACAGAGATAATAACAAGAAAGACAAGCATGATTCTAGATCTCTAATACATGGCATACAACCGAGCAATTATGATGGCTTGCATCGTGTTTCAGTCGAGTCGATATCACAGAGGTATTGCAGCTCACCGTCCAACATGGCAGTTACGATCATACTTGTCACATTCAATGTGCAACTCAAAATGTAGCCTGGAGCATTCAATCAGCGATCACTCTCACTAGGATCAAACACTCCAACTCACACCTATCGAGTCATTATGTTGAGCCAAGTTGAATGGTCAGAATTTCACACACCCCTAAAAGTGAATCTATTCATTAGATGTGAATGAGATGGTTGCAAAATACTCACTGCATCTGTCAGCGGGACAAATGGCATATTTACTGTGTGCCGCCGGTCAGAAGAAACAAACACGGTACATGTGAGGCATACGCAGAGCGTTGTACCCCAACGCCGCCTAGTGACGGAAACCTTTTAAGCTCGCCGCGAGACACGACGAACTCGCGTATCTCACGTCCAAGTCATCAGATCGACACCGTGTTCCGATAGTACATACAGTAATGATTGAAGTATGTAGGCGATCCCATGAACTAGACCATGGCAATATTTGGAACAGTAGTATCTTCATCTGATCATCGATGACTCAATTCAGAGCTCTTGCAAGTTTGGAGATGCTGTGGAGTAGTTTTTTTGCCTTCTTCGACACCCTCGGGACGTAGAAAATGAGTAGTTAGATACTCGGAACAAGTGAAATTGCGAGGTGGGCAGGAGCAAGAGACGCTGTGCCACGGCTCACCTCACTTGATCTGCGTTTAGACTGAACATCTACGTCAGCCGAGGCACGAGGCTGACTTAGAAAACCAAGTCCGTCTATCGTCACGGCCGTAGCTTAGTCAGCCACTCAGGCTTTGTCCCACCACTTCTTGCTCGCGACACACGGGTTGCGAATACACCGCTCCAAGAGGATAAAAGTCTGAAATTTCGACTGCAGTCACAACACTACCACCATCGACTGTCTTCAAGGTCAACAAGACACTAGATATCGGGTAGACTCCGGAACAGGAAGAAACCGGAAAGGAACGCGTAGACCGTAGCAAAATACTCGGCCGATGGCGACATCGAGCAACCTATGGCGAAAGAAAAGCAACAATATCATCAAGGAGTTTACCATGATCTATAGCCATCAATCTCCCTGCTGTATGGAGGCCATCTAGACGAGTTGCCCAGAATCCCGGATTCACTCACCCAATTTCAATATTTGATGACGAGACAATTCTGAAGCTGACTCGAATGACCTTTCAGCGGCGAAGACCCTGACCGTGGCACCACAAGGGGTAGATAGAAGTCGAGGAACTTGGCGTCCTAAGATGATTTGTCAGATAATAGGTCATGAATGTAGTCCTCAGCGAAGGCATCTTGGGCAGCGATCAGGATAATCAGTGGAGAAGCACAACAGAACCGAATTCGTCAAAGATACTACACCAGCAATAACAGCTCTTCTCAAATACCCTCTAGTGCCCTAGGAAGGTTTATAACACCCAGTCCTTTATATCTTTGCTGATTCTGCATCACATATGTAGGAAGGATCAGTTTTTGATGTTCCCAGTGTCAAATCTGGATTTCCTTTTTGGTCGCATACACTCAAACTTTCTGTTGCAACTTGCTGCCCGAAATATCATATTGACTTCAATCTTCCCATCTTGTTGATGGACTAGAGCATGAGTGTTTTGCTGGCTTTTTGGGGGTAAGGAGGTTGCTTGGTGACACCGTGAGTGGCTTGCCGAACATATGACGTTTTCGAGCGTAGATATTGCGGACAGTCTCCCAACCACTGGATGGTTTCGTCTATGCTGGGGCAAATGGAGCAGTGCGGGTTTCGCTTTTTCTCCTTATCTTGTTGGTTTCACATTATTTATAGGGCATGATTGTTCTAGTAACCCGACCTTTTTATCCTGACTGAACATCAGTGAACGCCTGAGTCCTAATGGCGTCCCACCCGACCTATGAAGCGCATGGGCAACCATATGTGGACGAAAAGGCGTCGATGACTGCCGAAAAGCAAGATTTGGGAGGTTCTAGAGATGTTTTCGCTGAAGATGGCGTCCACCAGATTCAGTACAAAACACTCAGCTGGCAGGTGCGTCTATGCAAGATTGCACGAAGTAAAATCTTGATCGACGTTACAGGCTGTCAGCCTCCTCATGATAGCCGAAATCGTCAGCAATGGTATCCTGTCTCTTCCAAGCGCACTGGCAGTCGTTGGTGAGCCCGCTGTCCTGTAAATTCCATGAGGAGCAGCGTTTTAACTTACAAATCCCCAGGTATTGTGCCCGCTGTCATTCTAATCGTGTTTCTCGGTATTTTTGGCCTGTACACTGCCAAGTTGCTCGTCGACTTCAAGCTGAATCATCCTAACGTGCATACCATGGGTAATAAATTCTGTCGTTAATGGTTTTCAAATATCTGAGATGCTCTAGGTGACGCTGGATACATTATGTCCGGACCTGTAGCTCGGGAGGTGCTTGCCTTCGGAACTGTTGCTTTCGCTGTGTTTGCTTCTGTGGGTCATCGAGTCAACTAGAATGTGTCACAACTGAATTATGCCAAACAGGGCTCTGAACTACTTTCCAGCCAACAGGCACTGTCAACGCTTTCGAATCAAGGCGTATGCAGCATGTATCTGGTTATTATCGCTGGTGCCGTTGGTTTCTTGATTTCACTACCGCGGACACTGGATCGCTTGGCATGGATGGGTTTTCTTAGCGCAATAGTCATTGCCGTGGCTGGTTTCGTTGCAATGATTGGAGCAGGGGCGAACCCAGTTCCTGGACGGTCTCTGACAGTAGCTGCATCTAGTAACTTTTTCGATGCTTTCCTGGCTGTCACAAATCCTGTGGGTATCTTCTTGTGTCTTCGAGTTAGTCAGCTCGCTTATCCGCTCATTAGGTTTTTGCATACGCAGGTACGGAAATTTTGTAATGTTAATCGTCATTTCTGAATGTTTTATTAGGACACTTCATGTATGACTTTGCGCATGGTATTTCCGCTGAAGCTGACCTCTGACAGGTTCTTTATTCTGATATCTGAGATGCGTAGACCCGAGGATGCTATGAAGGTCAGAACGTTGCTGTACTTGATATTGTGACTCTGAAGACCTCTTTCAGGCAGCATGGTGTCTGCAAGGCTTTGCTACAGTATTTTATACTGTTTTCAGCGTAGTCGTATATGTCTACATTGGAAACACGGTGCAGTCCCCGGCCCTTTTTTCTCTTCCTCCGGCATGGGCAAAGGCAACGTTCGCTATTGCTCTCGCAAATTTCCTGTTGTCAGTGATACTTTGCTGTTTGGTCTAATCCTTACTAAATCATTTTCGGGAAGCACTTCCGGGCTATACGTTCATACAGCTGCAAAGCTGGTGTTTGTTCGCATATTTCGTCATTCAGAGCACATCCATTCGCATACCTTACTCGGATGGACGGTTTGGACTCTGCTGTGTTTCACAGGCGTAGCTGTCGCTGCAATTCTCGCTATCGCAGTTCCGATATTTTCCTACCTAATCGGCATTGCGGCAGCCCTCTTTGCCGCATGGTACACGTACGGTTTGGCCGGATTCTTCTGGTTGCATGACGTATATCATCTCAAGGGTGGCGTAGACGGGCTCAAAGGACGGCCAATTGGGACTATACTCGCAGTGCTGACTATCATTGCCGGCGCTTTCATCTGTGCCGCTGGGACTTATGTGTCGATAAAGGTCAGTGTTCGTGTCTTCGCATCTGACACTCGTCTCACCGTCAGTGATCAATAATAGCTCATCGTCGAAGCATACGCCAGTGGCCAGGTTGGTAAACCTTTTATTTGCTAGGGGGGTTCCATTGCGGCATAGTGTGTAGTCCGTGTAGGGTCCTTTAAAATTAATATTAGAGCTTTTCCAAGGACAGTTAGATCATAGGTTTGGTTGGGCCTGAGAATTTAGTCAGTGATGTGACCCAGATCATTAATAGTCCGTGATACGTACGTACTTGACGCGCTCCAAATGCGCTGGTTGCCGGAACTTGGTCCCAGTGGGACATTCATATCAGTGACGTCTTTTTGGCTGCGTAATGATAGGTAGCTACGCCCCAGTCAAAGCCGATCAACGCTGAGGCCTGAGGACATGATCTTTTGGCTCGAGGATGTATAGTTTGTTGGCTTAGAGTCCAGTCGGTATCTTGTGAGCGCCAGTGATGACGTTCAACGACAGACTTCTCAAGGGCCCAGGTCATGTATCATGTGGAATATCGCGGAGATTTGCTCCGGATTGTTGCCTCGGATACTGGTATACATGTGTGCGATGGAAAGTAATTGAAAATTCGAAACACGCGTGTCATGACTCGGATTTATCGTACATAGCCTTTGATGAGCGCAGCTTTGAAAGCACGCCTGGAGAGTTGACTGTTCCCGACTGCGACTACCCACACCTTTCTCTTCTGCTATGACCGCCGCTGCTAGACAGCATGAGCTCCCTATATTCGCACGTCCTCCAAAGACGTGGACCCAGACGCTCAATGGGTTGTTCTTCTTCATATTGTTTATCCCAGGATGTCTCATGATTCACGGGTTTCAACTTTTCATTCTACTGCCCTTGAAGCTTTTCTCGTCAAGCCCACGAGCCTGGAAGTTATATGACGAGGGGGTACGATATACGAAGGGCGCTTTTGCGACGCTTATGAGTGAGTCATCATACATGATGCCGGCGATACGCTATATGACGACACGTACTATGTACTAGATTTGATGAATCAATGGTTTGCCCCGACACGTCTTTCCATCACATTCGAGCGGGCAGGACCAGGGAAATTCACGGAGGAGGAAATCAAACATATAGTCGAACGCGATGCGTCTGGCAGGGTGGTGGCCTTACGCCTACCGTCTAAAACGGTCGTTATCGCGAACCATCAGGTTCGTCATCACCCTGATCGTGTAGCGTCCGCTGATTCGCTCTCAGGTCTACTCTGACTGGTGGTATGTCTGGTGCCTCACATACTTCATGGGAACGCACAAGGATGTCTTCATTGTATTGAAGAACAGCCTGAAGTGGATTCCTCTCGTTGGGCCAGTACGTGGAATCCGTGAATTTGAGGCTCTTTGCTAAATGACGACGAAGGCAATGCAAATATTTAGATTCATCTTTCTAGCGCGTTCATGGGCCTCTGACCGAATACAATTATCAGCGAAACTCACAAAAATCGGCCGACAAGCAGAACAAGAAGACAACCCATTCACGTTTATTCTATTTCCAGAAGGCACCCTCGTGAGCAAAGATACACGCCCTATCAGCAGGAAATACGCGGATAAGCTTGGTGTTGTGCGTTTCTACTACCATTCTGAGTGAAGTCGATGACGACCATATTTCCTCTAGCCCGATCCACTAAATATCTTGCTGCCTCGGTCGACGGGGCTTCACTATAGTCTTCGCTCACTTGCGTCGCGCGTGCCATCTTTGAAATTGATCGACATCACGATGGTATATCCAGGTATGTTCCTGGCTGCTCTCATACTCCGCTAACCATCGTTACTGCTGCTAGGCATACCACCAAAGGGATACGGACAATCTTTCTACACACTCCGCTCGATATTCTGCGACCGCGTACCTCCGCCTATAGTGCACATGCATCTAAGAATATTTGACGTCGCAAAGGATGTTCCCATAGGAGACATCTCAGGGACGAATCCCGCTGTGACTCCGGACGGATCTAAACACGAGCCTATTGAGGTGGACTTCCCAGAACAGGAGAAGACTGTCTTTGATGAATGGCTTAGGAAGTTGTGGATGGACAAGGATGAATTTATCACAACGTTCCATCGCTTAGATGGCTTCCCCTCTGGTCATCCCGGTACTGTTGAAATCCCACTAGAACTAGGGAGTAAACGGGAGATACCGATTGCTTTCTGTTGTTTTGTTCCAGTGGCAGCATGTGTATTATGGTCAAGGTTGGTGCAGGCTGTTTCATGACGGTTTGTTGTGTACTATGTTGTAATTCTGGATGTCTCTCGGAGTCTTTGATGTAGTAATACTTAACAAGTTCTGGGCTGGATGAGGTGAGATGATGTAAACAATTAGGCGGACGAAGTCGAGTGGTAAGTATGGTACTATACAAGTTGCAGCTCATGATTGTTGCGGGCGTTGTGACTCTATGGTCTTGATGATGAATAAACTGGTATCCATGAAGCGGTCCACACAATTCAAGAGACAGCTCTCCTCCCCACGGGCGAAGCGAGACCCTGGAGTGCCGGTGACACATCTGCATCAAATAATTTATCAAGGGAAGGGTCACGAATGCCAAGACGGAGGCTCACTTGTCCCAACACATGCTTGTTAGGTTATGCACGGTGGAGTTGATGCGAGCTTGAGCTTGTTCACGTTCTAAGAACGTAGCAAGCTCTTTCTATAAAAGCTGCCTGAGAATCAATGGGAAGTGTTAAATGTGGCCACGCACTTGGGTAGCCTCGTCGAACTTGACGTTGTCCATTATGTGGTTAGACCAAGACAACTAGTCTGTGAAACGAATTTGCTACAGGAAAAGTCAAGATTAAATTTGGAAATAATTTCTCACGTTTGGTTCCGCGAAGGTTGATCGATCGGCATATTGAAGCTCGATGTTTATGTTCGTCTCAGCGGCTGGCTGGTTGGCAAGAGGACTCATCTATAAGTTAGGTTCATTCGTCGCAACCCAACAAACATTGTTGCGATGGTTCAATTTTGCTGGCGATTGACCTAGGACAGTACAGGCACTCATGTCGACATAGCCTGGCCCCGTGGCACTACACGTGAGATTCTGTCAATTAAGCATACCTGCAATACAAATGGTCATCATGAATAGGAAAGATTACTGCCTCATGTTTCCTTGCATAAGTAGCCCATCCATCCTCAGCAGCTCCCATATCCTTCAATGGCTTCAACTTCCGACTACCATCTCCAGCCTGCTACTAACTGGTCAACCGAACCTCCTCTGTATGTTTCCATCCACTCCACTGACGTAGCTCATTGTTCAAAACTTTCTTGATGTCCTCAGCGTGGGATACCTAAGTCGTAAAACTCTTCCCATAAAGCGCAACGACGCAGAACCTCTCACCCGAGAGGACGTTCAGTTCGATCTCCTTTGCCATATATTCAATGACAAGCACAAAGTTTTCACCCCCCAAGCCCCCAGCGAGGATCCCAAGGTCCACTTCTGCGATCTCTACGTCAATGCGCTGTATATGTCACACAAGTGTTCCAAAGTCCTCAAAGACAAGATGGCCGAAACACCCGCCTTTGCAGTCGAGCTTGCCAAAATTTCTCTTCTGACAAATGTGGGGCGCATCAACACCACTATGGCATGTAAGTCTGCATCCTACTTCGTTCCTTAAACGTGCTCATAACGAAGGCAGTCTTTCCAGAAATGAAGACAGCCTTGCGGACTTATCATCCGGTACCCTCGCTTCAAAAGACCGATGGTAATGCCCAAGATGCCCCGCGGATCAAGAACTGTCTCAAGGCTGCCTTGCTCCCATCTGAGCTCAAGAACATGCCTCCGTCTACTCCGGAAGAAATCTTGCAGAAGAGCGTACGCGAATTCATCACCATGGTTCTTCATGCAGCAGCTCATCTTCATACCGCCAGAGGGCTCGTGAACTTCCATCTACAAGTGTTGTGAATTTAATATTCGTTCTAGCAAACCATGCGGGCGTAAGGTTTCTATTTGTGTCTAGTCTCCTCACACTGACTGCTTGTCAGCCCCTTGCAAGTACTCACTTCGATCCGCCCCTGAACTTCCTGGATCTTTTTTTGCCCATCAACATAGCTTCAGCTGACCGCGCGCGCGCGTTTCTATGGCTCGTATTTCACTATCTGGAGGGCCCTGATCAACCAAATCCGTACGATGATGACTACTCCCGCCAAAATCCTGGCAAGGTTCCTTGGCTGCGCCGTCTCACAGAAGCAGAAATGGCACAGGAAAATGTAGACTCTCCTGATGAAATCGAATGGGGCAAGTCGATGTCAGCACAAAGAAACCTCTTTCTGCAAAGACTCGTCCACTCTATCGAAAAAGAGAAAAAGGTCAAGGCCGCTGCGTCTGCATCTAAATGTGCGACTATTTGTCGTTCACTGATTTAGTTATCCGTTAACCATTTGATCAGTGACTGAGCCCACTTCTGGTCGTTCAAGACCCTCCAGATCACAGCAAGAAGGTACCAGGGACAAACCTTACATCCATTATCTTCCCCCCGACCGTGCACCTCAGATTACCCGTTCTGGTATGCTCTTCCTTGGTGCTTCTGGGTGTTCCGTTCTCATATCCCTACAGTTAGCGAAGACCATAGAGTCAACTATAGTAGCTCTCGTGGACTTCATAGAAGCATGCTGCAACGTGGGTGACAAGTAGTGTTTCGTGTATATTGATGTGTATGGGCACCATTAGATGCTTGGCAGGTCGTCACTTCTACCGATCCCTTGGCAGACTCGGATGAAGAACTACAGGATGAACACGTTAGACTTGATTACAGTAAGCGACAATAAGTCATCAGGCCATAGTCTCAATGTTGACGTTACTAAGGCAGACGTGTAGACGTTATCGCTCGATTGCGTGGGCGGCCTCCATCACCACTTCCAGATCTACTGCCACCGGCCAGCAGCACTAGTTCATACCCGCCACCTAGTAGTATTTCTGATACCCGTGAACACCGGTGGCGAACGGTGGAATCGTGGAAGTAGTTCACAGTCACGCGTCCCACGGACAAAAGGAAGTAATCAAGTACCGACAGCCCTTGTGTGCATAATACCCATACCCAAGGGGATATACTCCCTCGGAAAAGTTGTACTCGTACTAGTAAGAACTACTAATGGCAACACGTAAATGATGGTGTGTAAGCGTAGGCAGTGGTGTCGAAGGAGCGCACGTGTACCAGACAGGATTTGCGATCGTACAACGCGGTGCGGTAAGAAGTAAAAGAAGCAGCGGATTTGTGTCCAGACGGTTACGCAACCCCGTGTCATCAAGACACGCGGCAGCGTATTTACACTAAGGAGAAGACTAAGTCCAATAAGCTGTCCATGGAAATGACTGCACGGCAGTACCAAGATAAAGTCCAAAATGTCTGTGTTCAAAAAGCCCCAGGCAATGACATAATTGGATGCTCGAAGCCAGAGCGTCCTCTTAGTTGCATCTCCGCGGGAGCGCTGTGTCTCTTTGACCGAGGTTGATGGTTTGCGAGGCATGCGAGAGGAGGGGACGTGCGACGTTTGATGGTGGTAATCATTTCACGAGCAGTGTTGGCTCGGCCAAGGGCGTGCATATTGGACTCAGTGAACTTGCACATCACATTACCACGAGCACGAGGACTGGCTACCTCGATGTTCGGGTAACAAGGAGAGTTGGGCATGGTGCTTGTCCGCATATAAGAAATAGGAGTCACTGCTCTGACGACGCCTGACGGGCATATGTAATCTGCCGATGTTGATACTAGGGTTTCGTGTCCGAGACAGTCCGTGTAGACGGTGAGTTTTTGGCACTCCTTAGGAACATGGGTAGACGGGGTGTTGCAAAGATTGGCTCATTGGCCATCGGTGGGGGAGGATGGGGTGGTCCAACGCGGGCGATGATCTCTTCCAGCGATGGAAGTTTGCGTCTACCCAAGTTCAGGTCTGTCTTGGGCTTGCTGATAGGCAAACGACAATCCGTCTGTTCGTGCCAGGTGCGGCGCTCGTGGAGGCCTTTTCCAATCCAACCATCATGCTCCTCGGCAGATGAGTAAGAAGACGGTGAGCCGAGGCCGAGAGATGGGAATGTACAATAATTAACGCCAGGGAACTCCACAGGAATCTTAGAACCTGTAGTAGACAACGTAGGTTCCTGGATTCTTGATAGGAAGGATGCACGACGTTCGACTGTAAATAAGCGCATAACGGAATGAGATCGTAACTCATTCATGACACCGATCCATTTGACTCACGTTGTTTATTTCTCTGGTTCTTGATGGCAAGTTCCTTGCGCAGATCTGGGACCTTTCTCGAACCGAGCGCAGCTCTCTTGTCACGCGACACTTCGAGAAGCAGATCAAACTGATCACGATGAAGCTCTCTTGGAGGAGGACAGTCTGCAGGACGAAGAGGAGACGAATGCCTGGGAGATATGGCTGGAAAGTGATATTGGGGGCTCGGCGACCGTGGGCGGTGCTCGCAATCATCCTTGTCTGTGCTGCGTGCGGAAAGAAACGGGGAGTAGGGCTCTGGACATGCCTTGACTGGCGAAGCAGGGGAAATGCGGATGTGAGGGATGGATGTACCGATGGCGGATAACATGGCTTGGGAGGGCGACCGGCGCCAACTGTAAAAAGAATGAAAGAATGAAAAGAATGGAAGCTTGTCGGGTGGACGTATAAAAGGAGCGGTAAAGGTGGCAAACACGAGGAGTTTCACCACGCTCGCGAGTCGCAGCGCTAGATATGTTAGTACATAAAGCGGCGTGCCACACTAGGAATTGCTCAGTCCTGGTTTATCTTATCATCCAGATTTCACCTGGTTGTACAGAACGACAACACTGTATCCTGCCAACAGAATTAATAGCACCGCTTTTCCATCATGCCAGCTGGCTTACTGTAACTCCACGGGCCGCCCAAGCATTTTCCCGGTACCACTTTCAAACACTCATATCACAAAATCTACATCGTTACAGAGCGTGGTATCTCCTACTGATACTGATATTACAACAATAACAAGGGCGAGGACATGTTTCACCAGCCTGAATCCCAATTTTCAACCCAACCGATCACAGGCCTTCCGCTGCAATTGCCTCTTTTTGTTTCTCGTGGAACAGCTTCTCTGCATCAGTCCAGACCCTTTTAGTCTTTCGTCGAGGAAGCTCCAAGAGTGATGGTAACAAATCGTTGCTGAATTGTTCAGAAGCCTCGCGGGGCAACAGCGTTGGTAGGTGATCAATGGAGATCACCGACAACAACGGCAAATCTTGTCTGGTGCACAAGTCAAGACATTAGCTGGTTCAGGCAATGTACCAATGTTACGCACCCGAGATCAACAGGAACAGTTGGTTCGGAAAAAGTTGTGTTTATACTATAAATTGGGATGGGGTTGAATGGGTTTGTCGTGTCGCAACTGACATCCACAACTACCGACAGCCGTCTATTTTGGCCGGCAGCGATAATTTGGTCTTTGCCCAAGAAAGGTGGGATAAAAGACGACAGGTAGATGCAATTTACAAAGATATCCACGTCAAGGATTTCCTGGAATGGACCACCTTTGGCAGTCTCAGCCATATCCCACTTTAATATGTCGTCCCTACGAAGACTTGTCAAGACATATACTGCCTAGCTTCGTGCGATCACTCACTCAGACAAACCGATCTTGCGGAAAAGATCCACAGCTCCGCGTCCACATCGTCCGAGGGCACCGATCACGAGAGCTTTGACGCCCTTGGCGCTGCCACCGAGTGTGTTCTTGACACCTTCGATCATGGCAGTCTCATTCTCGTAGGGTTCTAGATGGCCCAACTTTTCTCCTGATCGTCGTGCAGCCAAAGCGAGTGCGCCAGCGGCGGCACCAGCAAAGCCAGCATGATATCCAAAAGCAGCAACACGCCGACCCGTAGCATCGGTGAGGAACTCCAAATCATAGAGTGTACCTCCTCCCTTGTGGAAGCGAGCCAGTACGGATGACCATCCTGCTTGACGCTTATAGCAGTGAGCAAACTGAATGTGTGTGTGAGGCAGGGGTTCCTGAGATGCTGGAAGCTCCTTCAACCCGATGATGAGGGCATCTGTAGGGGCCGTGGGCCATGAGCTGTTATCCACTAACGTACAACCAACACTACGACGGGTGTTTAGCGGACGACAACAGTTATATTATTCGCACATACGCTTCGAACTCAACGTCATCGAAAATTCGTTGTTCATCACGTTCGACGCTGATTTGGAAGCCAGCATCAATCAGCTTCTTCGCCGTGGTAGGCGTAAGGGCTGAGCGACGCTCAAACTCCTTCTTTTCGCAACGAAGCCATAGGTGTTGGGTAGACATGATTGATCGAGGTGTACACCCTAGTTTGTTCTAACTGACGAATATTTAATAACTATGCGATCAAGCAGAGTCAAAGTGACTCGCGATCGGAGTCACTCAGAACTTTAATTTTAAAATGAGATTTTACGATCATGTGACTTGACGCGTCGTGAAACGCGTGACCCGAGCTCAAGGAGACTTAGCCAGAACCTCTGGGTCAGCGACTGGACTATATATGCATGCTCGACATAGCGCACATACTGCCACTTGCACGTCGAATTATGGAGTATAGACGGTTTCATAGTGATAACGAATCTATCACCTTTTAGCAGTCTGGTAGGCCCAGGGCCCCGAACTAGAAAAGAAAGGACAAACACACTCCGGAAGTCTCTGGCAAGTCTGTAACATCAAATTAGCAACATCTTATTGTCACCTGTCAGAGTCTTACACTGAGGTATCTCTTAATGATCTCGCCCATTGAATGATTAATAATTCCTGCAATACCTACCATGTCGACGCTCATCAACCTAGGAGGCCTTCGCCGCTTTTATTCTCCTGCAAGCTGCATGTGAAGCGACCGTATGTTTAATTGGCATTGCACACACAAAATTTCAGAGCGGAAAATCGAGAATGGCGACGGACACAGCGCGTTCCAGTGTATGCCAATTCAGTCACATGTATAAGGTATATTGGCAAAGCTTATATTAACTTCGTCTGCTACTTAGTACTTAAATATTCATAGACTACTATGCACGACGCAACACAATTTCCCAAGATACTGGGGTTAAATTTTTTGAACTTACTCCCAGTAGCGAAACGACCAGGAGCACGTTACAACAATAACATTTGTGTTTTCTCTATCTGAATTAGGATTGCCCGTATAACCTCGCTGCAGCCTCCAGTTTCCCACTCTCGAACTTTTTGTACCGATCAACAGCAGTCCCCGCTGGAACATACGGGTCGCCTCGAACAAGGCCTTCCATTGTCTCTTTCGTGTATTCTTCAAGCGTAAGCCAGAAACGACTCAGTCCTTGCGTTGCACCTTGGACTAACGCACAGGTCAAGAGACAGTAGAGACGAAAAAGAATTGAAGGGAACCCACAGCCGTGCAGCTCCGACTCGACGAGTCTTCACGACAATAAGTTCGATAACGATGAAATAAATGAAGTAACTCACGGAGGAATAATCTCGACCACGTGAACATTCTTCTTCTTGAGCTGAACAGCTAGTGAGATACTCAAACTGTGGAGGGCAGATTTTGTTGCACAGTAGTCAGGGACTCCGGCGGCGGGATAGATGGATAGTCCTGAGGAAACTGGGTACAAGAATGTCGGACGGCCTTGCTCCTGCACAAGGGTCAGGGATAAAAGGAAAATAAAAAAGTGCTCATACTCCAAGCTTGATAAGATGAGGGAGGAAGAAAGTAATCATCCTGACAATCGAAGTATAATTGGTGGCGAGTTCACACTCGAGAGCTGGCAGAAATTAGTATGTCATAGGTGCACAGTGGGAGAGGCCTACAGTCGAGATCAATGGTATCTGGCCTCGTGAAGTCGAAAGCACATTGAATGCCATTCGAGAAAAGAACAGCGTCAAGCTAAAAAGTCGGTCAGTTGGTTTAAAGGGGATAGTGCTACGGGTACATACGTCTGGGTAAGTGTTGACAATCTCCTCGATAGAAGACTTGAGAGCGTTGCGCTCTGAAAGCACGTCAAGAGTAACACTCTTGAGTCGTCCGGTGGCATTGTGGGATGCAACCAGTTCGTCGAGCCTTTCCTTGCGGCGACCGCAGACAACGACGGTTGGCTGAGAAGGGAGGTCCAAGATTGCAAGGGCAAGGGAACGACCTATCCCTGACGTAGATCCAATGACAAGGACACACTTACAATCGCTGATGCTAGGCATGATGGAGGAGCAAGTTTTGTGGAGATAGGCTGAGAGTAGTTGGAGAAGGGGATGAATGCGCCAACCTTTATAACTACGTGATCATGATCTGTACTCTGTCGTCATCACAGCCACTTACTGTGACAGGATGATGCATTTATACGAGGGATCAAAATTGCATTGCCACTGGGACGCGTACGCTCGATTTTCTGTTCCTGAGTGCAATATGGATAGGCTGACACTTATATCATCCCATGTGCCCATGGTTCCGCCAGCAGTCTGATGTTGTATAAGCTTCGTGCAAAGGGGACCGAACTCGCTATGCCTTCGAAGTGCCGAGAATAGTATCTCGAAAAAGCGATGCTGTACAGCAAAGAGAGATCATCGATCAGCGCTTCAGCTTCCATGCGCCTGCGAAAAAGCTACGCACCTCGTAATGACCTACCGAAAAATCTTTGATAGGGTCGGAATATTCCAACAACAGCTTGCTCATTCACAGCAAACTCGCGCTGTCGCAGAGAAGAGCTTCAAGGAAAAACTCACTCGCAGAATGGGCCTAGCGCTTCCGCAAGCAGCTCCATCTGTAACGCCAGGAAATAAACTGCATCAAGCACAACTTGTTGAGGTCAAACTACCACTGATTTGAGGGGAGGAGATGCTACACGAAAGTCTGGGGACAATGGAAGCTGGCAGGGAATGTTTCTTCAATATTGCAGCTCAAGCGGTTGTTGTATGTCGAGGTGCTAGAACTGCAGGGTAGTGGCATGTAGTCACAGTAATATTGATGAAAACAGTCGTGAAGAAGCCGTTAGAAAATTCGTGCACTGAAAATGCAGTTGCACATAGCGTAGCATTACTTGGATTCACAAACGAAGCATGAACCAGTGCCATTTCTCTTCAAAAGACGGAAGTAAAACGTTGATGAGTTGGATGGTGTATTACAGCAATTCATTTATGTCCACAGAATTTTGCTTGTTAAATACGACAACGATGATGGAGGTATGATGCCGATGAGCATAGCGCTAGCCGCAAGTCACGTGTTCACGGTACTAGCCCTGATGCTCCATTACGTACATATATTAAGTTGATATTTCGGTTCAAGCCTTCAAGCTTCTGCAGTGACCTGCTGGTGATTCTGTCTGAAGCAGTCAGATCTCGCGTTGCCTTTTGTATGCAACCACTCAGTAAAATGCAGGATCATGCACATGTGCTGAAAAGTTCTCAATGCACCGAAATTGTCAATGATCAAAGCGGTTTTGGTCAAGCGCTGCAGGGAGAATCGATTATCGATTGAGTTTGCCGCATGGGCCTCCTCGTGGCTACCTCATGAACTCTGAAAGCTATAATTTACATCCACGATCCCTCCAAGCTACCCTCTGACCTTTGCATACAAGATGCCCAACAAAATACCCATGCCTACTGCTGCAGACATCACTCGCATGACATACAAAGGGGCAGAACAGCTCCGGAGCGAGCAGCGTCCTAGGAGGGGACCCAAATAAACTGGACTTTGGGATAGTACCGACCTGCTATAATTGCGACATACCTATCATGGGTCGTAAAGTACGTCCAAATAGTTACGCTTTAGCCCGTAATTGACTTCGAGTCATTAGCCCTTGATCTGCTCGGGTTGTAGATCCGCTGTATTCTGCTCGAAGAATGTCAATTTACATCTCCATTAATATCCAGGCACTCGCTTATCTTCGACTTTTCAGTGCCATACCGCAAACTGGAAGGCAGGGAGGTTTGGAGCCCAAGGTCACAAATTCTTCTGTGCAAAGAATAAGGTACGAATGATCAGTGCTTACCTGTTCTTTCCCAGAGTACCGTTTATTCGTAGTGTCTGATGAATTCCATCTCAGGTACATATGGAGAAGGTCCCGCACGTGCAAGCTCTTCTGAAGCAATTTCCCTGGGGTCGCATCGAGACGGATGGCACCTTTGCCGAACCCATCGTACGCGCCTATCACAAGGTCTTGGGTGCAGAGGGTTTCGGCTACTGGAGCATTCCGGGAGGCTCCAACCCACACCTTCAGCAGCCAAGTAATACTTCCGGCCCGTCTGGAGCGCTTCGCGTCGACGATACAAAGGGATTTGAACACGGCTACATGCTGCTTTCAAATAAACTATTGACGGATGAGACTGGCTGGAAACTGGAGAAGCGTTTAATCCCCCGATTGGTTTTTGAGCTTGGCACGGAGCCTGAGCTTGCTTCCAACGTGGATATCGTGGACTGGGATTCATGGTACAAGTGGCGAAATATCCCCAAGGAATCACCAGCAGCCTTGTTGCTGCATTACCCTCTCACCGTATACCAGCTTTTGGTGAACGTGCTCCAGGTCGCAGGGCCAAAAAGAAGTTCTTCAGAGAATCGTCAGGCGCTCAACGTACATTATATCGGCGCTGAAGTTGAATTGAATATGCTTCCCCTGTATGTGGGGACTGTCAGCGGCTAAACTTTCCATGCTGATTATCATCATCATGCTAGATTCTCTGAACTAGCGTTGCTGCTTCCTCACACAGATATCAAGATGACTTTCTTCGGCATCGCAGTCCACTCTATTGTTAGTAAGGCAAAGAAGAATAGCATCGCTATGAAGGCGAAGCAGAACGAGCCAGTCTACACCTACACCAGCCCTGCATCTTGCGGAGCCAGCACTCTGTCCCTTTTTCTCCACGGAGATCATGAAAATTGGGACCCGCGGCTCCCTTTGCTCGTAGGAAGCAAACCAGACGCTATCGTCGGTCTGAATGCTGGGCTCACCAGTTACCCAGCGTGGCAGTTCGTCATCTTGTGCTGTCACACTGATAATACGCCTTTTGCCGTCTCCGAATACGCAGAACAATCCGCCGAACTTCAAAGAGATGCAATTCCCCAGATCATTGCCCATGCCCTCCCTCGCTTACACTCAGCAGGCATGCCTGGCTCGGAGATATACAATCTTACGCGGCCCAGAGAATACCCCATCGCATTTAATCCATTTCAACGTCCTGGACAGAGAAACTTGGGCTCGGTGCGATTGCCGAACGTACCGAATGGGTTTACGATGAGAGTGGTTGGTGGCGACGAGCAGGAGATAATCCACCCCGCATCCGCTGGTGTCCCTGTACCAGTTCCAGACATGAGCGAGTTGCTCCAGAAGACGGAGCAGTTTTCGCTGAACCGTTTGGATTGAGTATCTTGGCATCTACACATATCTCCACCGGAGATGCGTCAAATGACGAACACTACATCGAGTAGGCAATACTGTTCATCAGGCATTCAGAGGATTTGTAGTGACTCGTTTACACGTCCCTGACTACTTCAACTATATGCAACCTGGTTTTTCCAATTGGGACTCAGATTTTCGCATTGTATTTCAGTAGTGCAGCACTCCCAAATTCCAGAGAATTCTTTTTGAGACAAGAACATGAACGACAATCACTATACACTTTTGAGCCTGATTGCAGAGGGAAACTACGTTCCACACATTCCAATACGTGTGCTTTATGTCTGAGTCATTGCCTTGAAACGCCCATGCATCTTCGTTGCAGCCTCCAACTTCCCTTCCTCAAACTGTTTGTGCTGTTCGATGACCATCCCCGCTGGAACGTATGGGTCACCTCGAACAAGGCCCTCCATCGTCACCTTCGTGTATTCTTCGAGCGAAAGCCAGAAATTGGATAGACGTTGCGTTGTGCCTTCGACTGACGCGCAGGTCAAGAGACAGTAGACACGGAAAACTGGAAGGGAACTCACAGTCATGCAATTCCGACTCGACGAGTCTTTAATCGACCATGAGACCGACGACAACGGAACAAATAGTGTCACTCACGGAGGGATAATCTCGACTACATGAACATTCTTCTCCTTAAGCTGAATAGCGAGTGAGATACTCAAGCTGTGAACAGCAGATTTTGTCGCGCAGTAATTAGCAATTCCAGTGGCGGGAACAATGGAAAGTCCTGAAGAAACTGTGTACAAGAATGTCGGACGGCCTTGCTCCTGCACGAGGGTCAGATAAACAAGAAAAGAATAAAAAATGCTCATACCCCAAGCTTGATAAGATGAGGGAGGAAGAAGGTGATCATTCTGACAATTGAGGTGTAATTGGTGGCGAGTTCGCACTCGAGAACTGACCGAAATTAGTATGTCATAGGTGCACAGTGGGAGAGAGACCTACAGTCGAGATCAATGGTATCTGGCCTCGTGAAGTCGAAAGCACGTTGAATGCCACTCGAGAAGAGAACAGCGTCAAGCTAAGAAGCCGGTCAGCTTGTTCACAGGGGACAGTGCTACGGGTACATACGTCTGGGTAAGTGTTGACGATATCTTCGATAGAAGACTTGAGAGCGTTGCGCTCTGAAAGCACGTCAAGAGTGACACTTTTGAGTCGTCCGGTGGCATTGTGGGAGGCAACCAGTTCGTCGAGCCTTTCCTTGCGGCGCCCACAGACAATGACGGTTGGCTGAGAAGGGAGGTCCAAGATTGCAAGGGCAAGGGCCCGACCTATTCCTGCAGTGGATCCAACGACGAGGATGCACTTTGAATCGCTGATGCTGGGCATGATAGAAGAGTAAGTTTGATAATTTGCTGAAAGAAAGGGGCGTGAAAGCGCTGACCTTTATACCTGCGACTGCCTGTTCAAAATTGACTTGTCATTACAGCCGCGATACATGAATAATCATCGATGCGTCATTCGATGCCACTGTGCGAGACTCATTTTCAGCGTTTTTTTTCAGCTGTGTAACAAGGAATGGTTGATGTATCTGATCTGTTCGCCGTAGAATACGTCCTTGTTCGGCTCTCATTGCTCTATGTGATGATTTGTCAACAGTTGGTCACCCTAGGTCATCTGCATCAAATTTTAACGGCACGATTTACAATGTGGCCCATCAGCCAGTGCACATGAAATAACACCAGCCGTTCACTTCGCACCAAATATCGTGAGGAACATAGTAAACATAGCGTGTAATACTCATAAGTTCTCAGTTGGCAACTTGGATCCAAACCAAATTCATTCATCGTGATGGCGGATGACCAACATTTACCTTCCGACGTGTCCACCCCATACGAGTCCGTCGATGAACACGAAATCAAGGTGAGCGTCAAATTCAGGGTCGAGTATTGATTATCTGATCAATTTGAACGGCAGAAAAACATTACGGAGGCAGATGAATTGAAGCAGGAGGGCAATGAGTCGTTCCGGGCCAGTAGATGGAGTGAAGCTCTCGTGTCATACAGAACTGCTCTGAGTCAACTACCCAGACGAAAGCCGCAGCCTCCTTCCTCAGATAACTCACAGGATGATACGTCAGATCACGGTGGTGCCCGATCGGCGAGTTCAGGCGAGGTGCCAACGCGAGAGGAGGGGCCAGAGCCAGCCAGCATCCCCTCGGAGCTCGAGGCAGAATGTGCCAAGGCTCGAGCCGTGTTGAACGCCAACATTGGTGCATGTCTGGTAAAACTTGTATGCAAATCAATCCTTGATGTTTCAAAGATCTCACTGTAATCGATCAGAGCGATTACAGCGGTGCAGTTGAATCATGCACCCAATGTAAGTCGTCTGCAAAAACAGAAAGAATATCCCTACATGTTTCGCTGCAGCATTACTCGATGACCCTCACTATATCAAGGCCCTGCAGCGGCGAGCGGCTTCTAACGAACATCTCGACACATGGTCATCTTTGACACAAGCACAAGAAGGTATGATTTACTGCTCAAGGGCATCTTAAGGTATCTTAAGTAAAATCATCTAGATTACAAGTCACTCCTGGAATTGCTACCCCCTACGTCTCCTCAGGTGGCACAGACCAAGCGGAGCCTGCAGCTTCTTGAACCTCGCCAGCAAGCAGCTCAGAAGAAAGAAATGGCCGAAATGACGGGCAAACTGAAGAACCTCGGCAATAGTATACTGGGTATGTCGTCATTTTCCTCTGCAAACTGATAAGCCTGACGGTGAAACTGTCAGGCAATTTCGGATTGTCCACTGACAACTTCAAGTTTGAACCAAATGGTCAAGGCGGTTACTCGATGAACTTTGCTCGATAGTATTGATCTTGAATTCCTTCAAATCGCGATATGGCACATTGTATTAGAAAGCACGTCGTCAGTGTATAATTCCTGTCTATTCTAGACTGTTATCCCGTGTGTCAATGTTCGATGTAAGTCGCGTTCTTAGAGAAGACGGTGAACCGGTTGAGCGGGTAAATCTATATAAAGCAAGTCTCGCCGTCATGGAATCTGTTGCATGAGAAATTTGTGCACTTACCCTGGCAGCGATTCTGCCTCTTACTAAGGCCATAGACACAGGACCATAATCGCGCGAGTCTTTTGACCAGGCAGCGTTGTCACCAGCAACCCAAATGTGCCCTTTGGGAACGAGAACATGCTCGGTCGAATGAGCTTTGAGCCCAGTTGGATCGACGCAAACTACATCACCCGGAAGGCCAATTACCCTTTTGCAAATAATGCGAGAGGGATCAACGGGTGATGTCAAGGTTATAAGCTCCCCTCTTCCAAGTTGATTAGGAAATAACCGATGAGGGAGAATGCTTTCGAGGACCAGTTCGCCACTGTTGTCGAGCGTTGGAAGCATAGAAGGACCAGCCATCTATATTTTATCAGAAGGGTCGATGATGGGTGGTTGGATTCACGAACGAAGCATAGGCCGGCAACATTTTCCTTGAAAAGGTGAAAGGCAAAACCGAAGTTAATGAGCTGGAGGACGTCAATGAATGTCCGTGGAACTGGTTGTTAGATACGAACATGTAGACAAGTAAGACCGACTTTCTTGATGGCTGGCTCTGCAAGGTGCAACCACGATGGGGGTATCATTGAAGCGAAACATGTCACAAATATTTATGTAAATATTTTTCACATCGGTAATTATACAATTTGAAATTGAGTAACCTCTTCATGCAGGGAAGATCTACTGCAGGACGCTTATAATGTCTTCTTTCAAACGTAAAACACTGTCAGGTCGGGCTAACCTACCCCAAGGCACTCGTCTTTCCCCGTTTTCCACTTCTACCGTGATCACTTCAACTGGGATACCTTCACTTGATGATATTCTCGGTGGGGGACTACCTTTGTCTTGCTCTCTCGCTGTCCTTGCTCCTGATCATCACTCGGCATACGGAGAACTGGTGCAGAAGTACTTCGTAGCCCAAGGTCTTGCCTCTGGTCAGAAAGTCTGCATCGTCCATGACGAACCCCTGAGATTTGCAAGGGAGGGCATTTGGATGGCCGGGAATACTCCATCGACGCCTGCACAAGCCAGTACAGCTGAGGATGCGGACGATGAGAAGGCGAGTCAGCATGATAATAAGATCAAGATTGCCTGGCGTTATGAGCAGATGAAGAAGTTTCAGACAACAGTCTCGTCTAACTCGTATGTGAGTCCTCTACTCACACTGGATGATACTGAGGTGTTCAACCAATTATAGTCTTAATGACGATCTCTGCCTGTCATTTGATTTGACTTGCAGAATCCCCGCTACAGCCCTTGATGCTGCACGACAATCCGCCCAACTGATTCCGATTGATGTTGATATATTTGAGGATGGTACGGGAGTAATCGAACAGATCGAGGAGCTACTGTCGAACGGCACAGATGCACACGCTGTCCGAATATGTATCCCTGCTTTAGGATCGCCCCACTGGGACGACATGCAACCACCAGTGAGATACAGCCATTTGCAAGCACGAGGAGATCGTCGCTGATGCAATGATAGACTGTGTTGGCCTTGCTGCACTCGCTTCGAAGGCTTCTGCATCGGCATCCAAATGCTTGCGCCTCACTATCTCTCGCTCCTCATATGTGTACGGATACATGGGGAGGACCGGGGTGGGTTCAAAAAGTGGGGTGGCTAAGTGATGCAGCAATCTCGATGTCGGCATTTGGTGGTGAGTATTGATACGTGTGCCTAACATAGATTTTCTGATGTGACGACGGTCATGTGCCCAGCTAACCCATCACTATCTTCTCTTTTCCCTTCCCATCACGGCATCGTTCAAATTCTGACGCTTCCGGCCCCCCATACTATTCTCCCAGCCAGTGATAAATATTCCACCCTCCGCGGGTTGTCATCGGCTGCAGGGTCGATGGGCGGAAGTGGAGAAAATAACCTTGCTTTCAAGTGTATGCGCAAACGTCTTATCTTTGAGACCCTACATCTGGACTTGGAAGGTGGTGTGACTGAGCGGCGAACGACACCTTCCTCGAATGCTATGGCACTGGATGGCAACATGGTGCATGAAACGATGCCCGCTGCTGTTCTGGCGACTGAAGGCAGAAAGGGCTCACTTGCAACTGTGGAGGTTGAATTTGAACGTTCCAAGGAGGTAGTGTCCGATACTTCTACGAGTCGGGCTATACCCGATGCTGACGACTCCCTTGTTCCTGCAAAGCCAAAGAAGCCAAAGAAAAAGGTGGCGTTCCGTTCTGAGCGTCCTGATTTGTACGATTTTTGAAGGCAATTTATCTCCGTTACCCTGCACTGCTGAAGAATAAGCATCTGGAAGTTTTTTTTTGACTCGAGGGAAAGCCCTCCCCGTACACATGGCGATGACTACGGTACTGTTCGCCCTGTTGTACCTGTAAATGGAAAAAGTGAGTGTTACTCATGAAGCCAAGTGTGCAACGACTGTCAATATTGGCCCTCGTTACGTTGGAATGACGAGGAGTGGAGAGTCGACAGCTGTAAGCATTTGATGTCGGAGATACAAGTCACTAGGACTAGCTCCAGCATAATTGAATAACCATGAGCTGACGTGTGAAATCTAGAAAATTAGATTCGGAGAGCTTTCACCTTTGAACAGCTGTGTGATGTAACCATGTCGCGGTGATGGAGATATGATGAATGCATCGCACTGGGTTATACAGTAACTTTTTTTTTGCTTAATTTATGGGAAAGAAAACGTGTTTTATGTAACAACATGAGAGTGAGCACTAGTATACATAATGGCAAGGAACGTTTCTTGAAGCACTCTCATCTCACCCATGGACGAGCAAGTAACCATCAGAGCACTCATGTAAAGTCAAACTTTTATCATCCTCCCTTGTTCTGTTGACAAGCTTCTTATCAGGAACGACCATCCCAACGTACTCAGGCCAGCTGGTTATACTTCATTATACGAAAAACCACTACCAATGCCACCAATTCATAATCATGCCCCATCAAGTTCAACTAGTTGGATACACTCAGAGATGGGACCTGGTGAGTTATATCATTCAGTGCAGTATTTCAATTTAGCGTATCATGCACTTAACTTAATGAGTGCTTCCTCGGCGCTTACCACAATAATTCTTTCCTTGTTTTCGACGTTCATTACCCGACCTTTTTTTTGCTCACCATTTTTAAAATCTAGACCATCCATCAACCGCCTTACCGCCTTCCAGCTCACTTTCTCCCAATCACCACCCCGGATCCCGCTCACGCTCCCCGACGCCATCTGTACCTGGTGAATCTGGGACCTGTTCCCAACATTACGGTACTCAGAATTTAACCAATATGAGACTTGCTGCGGATACTTCAAGTCTAGACGAGTCTCCATCTGCTGGCATTCCCCTCGTACCAGACCATTCATTTCTACAAACACCTCTTGTGCGGTCGGTCTCCGAGGGCGAATCTTCTTTTCGGTTAGATTCATCTCCAACACATTCATTTGCACGACCCCCCAAGGTGCCACCGCTCCCAGATCCTTCTCAGTTCCCAGACCCATATCCCCAACGTTCCCAATATTCTCGCATGTCTGATAGGCTCTCTTCCACCCTGCCGGCTCTCTCTTCCGAAGGTTCCTCTTCCGCATCCACACGTTCGTCTGCATACACTAGCTCCGGAAGTGCACTAACATCGAGTGACTATGGCCATGTTCACGTTGCTACAGGAGAGGACGACGAGATTGGTGTCGCAGTGGGAATTTCGTCTGATGACGTGGACCAGATCTTGCAGACCAAGACCGTTACTCCTTCGTCTGCAGGAAGGACTCCAATAGACCAAACCAGGTGGTCAGAATACTCAGCGAGTATTCGATCCAGGTCATCTTCCATCGGGCAAAATAACAATAACACTAACAGCATGCATGAAAGCGGCATGCCACGTCTTCGAGAAAACCCTAGCTTCGACATGGGTTGGCAAACAGTAGATGAGAGAGATGAAGTTGGTTTGACAAGTGACGAAGAAACTGACGACCTCGGTGAGGAAGATGACGAGATTGACGACAAGGAGGAGGAAAGGACATCTGCGGTAGTGGTAGCGGAAGAAGGCCGCGGCCTCATTGTTACAGGCGAAGGCATCCCAGTTGTCCAGCTACGTGTTGAGCCAGGTGAGTGCGGGTGTTATTCACTCCAGGCATTTATCCAACTCATGACACCACCTTCATCAGGAACTACGCATCTACTACTGGGATCGTCTAGCACACCCGGTACGGTACCGACTTTCCTGCTGGGCGTCCTACCGCAAATATGCAATACCCTACTCGCGCTCGACATTTCCGCCAACTTCTTGAATGCGGTTCCTATTGCCCTTGCTTCATGTGAGAACCTGGAAGAGCTCAATGTCGCTTCCAATCCTCTTCGAGTCTTGCCCGCGTTCTTGACTAATCTCACGTCCTTGCGTGTGCTCATCGCGGATTCTACTGGTATTGGTAGCCTTCCCGATTCATTATGCGTGCTCGATAAGCTTCACACCCTTAGCGTTCGGAGGAACAAAATGCATTCCCTACCCAGCTGGCTGTGCCTCTTGCCTTCATTGCAGGAGCTTTATCTTGATGGCAACCCGTTTCAGGGACCTTGGCAAGCTTTGGTCGAGCCTCTGCTCGCTAAAACTTCGGTACCACCACTTTATCCCCCCTCGGCATCCATTATCCCCCCTTCTCCCGCCAGCCTCGTTGATTTGTCTATGGGGCCAGAGACAGACACGGAGTCGGAGCCTACTAGTGCGGGTCCGGAGGGGCCATCAGTCTCTCAATTTGATGACGACACTATTACGCCAGCCCGTGCTCCATTTCTCGGTCGTTCCGTAACCTCTCCTTCAACGCTACCCCTCCCCAAGGCTGCTCCGCGGGGTTTAATACGCACCAAGACTGCTCCAAATGGATCATTTTTCAGTTCAAAATCGCGCCCCAGAACTGAGGTGGCTGATGGACTCGGGATGTCGAAGCGCGTGGAAGACTCGGGTTACTACACAGATCACGATCTGCGGAGAATGAAGAGCGCGGGGGAACTACGTTCATCTTTCGATCAACGTGATTCTCAAATTTCTCCGCAGGACTCACCCATCGTCACCCCTGCCCTCCCAGCGCTCCCGAATTATTCGACCTCAGCGTCCAGCTTGAATTTGCTTACCGTGGTGGGTGCCTCACCGGAATCCGATCGCCTGAGTGTACCCAAACGATACGCCAGTCTTGGCGTTTCTTCGTCATCTTCTACCGTCACGCGTAATCCGCGGCCATCCTTACCTCAGGCACTGTTCGATCCGCCTTCAGGCACTCTAGAGCCCACAGCTCCCGAGTCCTCACGTATATCTGCCGTCGAAACTATCTCACCGGCAACTTCTCCGCGTCGAAAGCTGGCACGTGATCCGCCTCGATCTTCACCAGGTTATGGGGAGAGGAATAGCCTTGCAAGGCAGTCCCAATCTCACTCCAAGGACAGAGAAAAGAGCGGGCGATGGGGTTTCTTGAAGAAAATGTCGATGGGGAAGATGCGACCTGGACCCGACTCTCCTGCTTCTCCATATCGTCCGACCACTACGCACAACCGCACGTCTCAGCCCGAGTCGGGGATTGTATCTGCCTCAAATCCTACGACGCCGCACTCAAGCACGTCGCCTCAGATTGACCTTCGCTTCTCTACTACGGAAATTTTTGGGCCATTCACGGGTGGTGCCCCTCCTGTCACTTTTTCCCCACCAGAGCTAGAGAATGAGACTGAGAATGAGACTCCAACCTCCGAAAAGGCTTCCCCTATTCCGCCGCCTGCTATTCCTGGCAGTTTCCTTATTCCATCATCTTCTCCTGTTCCGCGGTCATCCAGAAGAAGGAGTTTCTTACCGGTCGATGATACAGTGACTATTCCTTCATCGTCACCTGTACCCTTTCTGGAACGTCTATCAGGCGGAAATGACGCGGATGAGCCCGGGTCCAATATCTCGTCAGGTCCAGTTCCGGATTCAGATAGCGTCGACTTTGCTACTCGAAGAGAGGAGGAAAGAACCCGAGAGGCATACACACGGGCTTTACGCTCTGTTATGGCGTACTTGAAGGATATGAATGATCTCGGCCTGTCTCAGGGTGGTAATACCGTCAGCGTGTATTCCGGAGGGGAAGAGAATTTGTCGAGCGGAATGCGCTCGCGTAGGCCGACGATCATTGAGAGGACAAATTTCGATACGTCCGCAATGTCGACGATTTCTCGAGCAGGATCCATGTCTGCGCAGCTACGGTCTCCTGATACTATGTCCGGTTTGCGCAGTGGGACGGCTTCACAGACGGTCAGCGTTGCTGCCTCGGACTGTTCTCAAGATGAGCGAAAGTACAAGGACGATAAGAGCAGGCGTGCACTTGTGGTTCGAGAGATTGTCGAGTAAGCATTCTTAATTGTTGGCTGTGGTGGATGTTGTTAACTGTAATTATAGGACGGAGAAGACGTACGTGAAAGGCCTCCAAGAACTTGTCGACATATACATCAAGCCTAGTGCTGCTCCTGTCAACCTGATCAGTGGTGTTGGTTCTAGCAAGGAAACGACCATCCCCTCAGCAGAGAGGAAGATCGTTTTCAGTGGCATTGAAGCACTCTTTTCGTTCCACAAGGAAAGCTTCCTTCCGTCGCTGGAAAAAGCAGCGGCTCCGCTGCTACAAAAGCCTCCTGGAATTGAAGAGTTTGATCCTGACGGTCAGTTGTCCGTGGAGGTAGCGACAGCTGTGGCTGGATGTTTCTTGAGATATGCTGCTTTCATGAGGATGTACTCGACATATATCAAGTGAGTACATGAATATTTCGTGCTCTGCTCTTTGCTCACAGAGTATGCGCAGCAACTTTGACAATTCTGTCCAGCGCATCAGATTTTGGTCGACAGATAGGCCTGTCGCAGGAAACATCAGCCCAGGCTCTACCATAACACCCTCCTCCAGCACTGCTCAACTTGTTGGGCTTGGTCTTGCTATCTCCTCTCCTTCAGAGAAAGTCGTGGTGCCTGATCCATCTTCTCCGAGTCATACAGCACATTTAACGTCTGGACAACGGAAACGAATAAAGCACTTTTTGAAACGTTGCCGCTTGAATCCTCGCCATTCACAACTTAATATGGAAGGCTATTTGCTTTTACCAGTCCAACGAATACCACGGTACCGCCTGCTAGTAAGCGTTCGCACTGGTCTGTATATGACACGATTAACTAATCATCTGTCAAGTTGGAAGAGCTTTTGCGGAGCACTCCACCATCGTATACCTTTTTAGATGACTCGCTGGACCGAGCTCTGGCAGAAATATCTTCGTTGGCAAATAACATGAATGAAGGCAAACGAGAGTCTGAATCCCGACGAAAACTCGTTCAATGGCAGTCAAGAATACGAGGCAAATTCCCCAGCCCTCTGGTGCAACCACATCGGTGAGTTGTGGACGCAAGCACCAGCTTACAATCCTCTGACGCTTCCGTCAGACGGCTTATTATGGATGGACCCCTACTGCTCACTAGGGTGGTGCGAAAGACGGTCGTTTCTTTTGAGACGTTCAATGCTCAGGGGGACGCCTCTGCTGTTCAAGTTGATTGCCTAGCGCCAGAGCTGAACCCCCGGCCACTCATTGGAATACTGTGTAACGACCTTCTTGTTCTCTGCAGGGATCCTAGCGACGGGAAGGATCCGATGTCTGCGGTTGACCTGTGGGCGGTGCTGCGGATGCAGACTTTACCCCAGCCGGCAAGCATCGTCCATGGAACTGGTAAGTTGATCTGAAATGGAGAAGTTGTGTCTATTTTAACATCGACCCTAGTTTTGCGCCTGGTTGACAACAAGGCTATCCTCTATTTCGATGCTCCATCACCTTCTGACGCTTTGAACTGGTTTAGAGGTAAATACAACTACACACCCAGGGTCCTATTTTGGCTGACGGTATATCTCAGCCATTAACCTGCATATACCTTCTGCAAAAGCATAGACGCTTAAGATTACCATCGCGCCTAAAACCTAGTGCCCAACCTCTGTGCATTCATTTCTAGCTCGCTGGATGGGCACTCTGATACGTATATATACTGTCATTAAGTTTCCTGCATGTTGCATTCGGTTTCCGTCCTCAACATTATCTTCCCACTGTATTTCACTCATTACGCTTTTAACTCTCGTATGGCCAGGTAGAATACATGAAATCATTATAAGTCCCGAAACCTCATTCCGCCGCGATGCAATGGAGCGTTTCAAATTTCAGATCCCAATTTCAATAGCGTGTTGAAATAACAGACAGAATTGTGAAATACTCTACTAATCGTAGGTGTGAACGATAGTATGTAAATAGTCACTGGTCCCATGGACGATCAAAAAAAACCGCGTTTCTCTGCTAGATACAGGCTGTGCTTTTGTCTAAAAGTAAGGACAAGGTCGCATTTTGGTCAGCAAGACTATGGATCAAGTTGACTAGATATTATTATATTGGTAGTCATACGACAAACAACCAGGTATGTCGGGTAATTGGTCATGAGGGCTTACAAAATAGTGATATAATCAACGGACTTTAGGTATTATTGCAGGTATAATTACATCTACAAGTGAGGTGACGTTAGTGATGTCAGAAATTGCAAAATGGAGTAGCTATGCTTACCAGCCATTGCCAGAATGCTTCCATCTTGTTCTTTGGCGGAGGTTCATCATACGTGTCCGCCAGAATTTCAGCTATATCGCTCGTGAAGTCCATGTCCTCTGCAGCAACGGGCTTAGAGCCATAGTAGAAACGAGCGCCAAGGTACATGATTGGCCAGGTAATGAGAAGGATGTAGTTGGTCATGAAATTTGCAGTACTCCACTCTCCTTTGAGGAAGACGCTAAATCCGCTGAACTAGAGAGTGGAGGAATAGTCAGTCTAAACAATATTAGCAGATATGAAAGGTCGACGTACGAAACATACGGTGACCGTTGCAAGTGCTCCCCACCACGCTGCGTATGGCTGGAGATTTGTGTAGTAAGGAAGCGTCTTGCGGTCGATGCCTTGCACCTGCATGCCCTTGTAGAAGCGGAGGTACGTCACCGAAATACCAAACCATGTCATAAGGCCAGCGATGGATGTCATGTTGGAAAACCAGTCAAACACTGAGCCCGCACCCGTGGACACAGCCATGAAGGCAAGAAGGGAGAAAGCGGCGGAGAAAAGGACAGCAATGTAAGGCAACCCGTTGCGCGTGGTTTTTAGGAAGAACTTGGGAGCATTTCCCGAGGCCGCAAGACCATCTACGAAGTGCGTTAATTTCGATGAGTTGGCTGACAGATAAATACACGCACAGATCGCACGAGACGCAGTATACAAATCACTAGATGAGGCGGACCATGCCGAGGTCAACAAACAAGCATTGATGATCTGTTTTGAATAGGAATGAGAAATTTCTAGGTAAAAAGGTGTGGCTTACAGAAGGAAGAGATTTGATTCCAGCTGTTTCGATAGCAATGACGAATGGAGACTGGGCGGTGGTTCCACTGTTCAAATTGAGGGATGGGTTGTTGGATGGTACAAGCAGACCAATGATGAGTGTTCCACCGATGTAGAAAAGTAATATACGGATGTATACTCGACGGATGGCTTTGGGCAAGGTACGACGAGGATTCTTGGCTTCTCCAGCAGCAATCTAAGTGAGACTCGTAAGCAATATATTTATTGATAAGCCTAGAATATAACGTACAGCAACAATCTCGGTTCCAATGAACGAGAAAGCAGCCTCCGTCAGAACAGCCCAGAAGCCGAGGAATTGTCCTTTGGCACCTGGGATGCCATCATACTGAACGAATGGTCCAGGATTTTTCCAGTAGCGGAATCCAATGCGGTCATGGTTTGGTGCACCTCCCAAATCAATGACTATACCGAGAATGATAAGACCAGTGATTGTGATGACCTTGATGGATCTGTAGTAATCTCAGGACACGAGATCAGGATATAGTACTCGGTACGCACGCAAATATGAATTCGGCCTCGCCGTAAGCACCAGCACCGAGCATATTAATGGTGAGAACGACGGCAAGACATATGACGACCCATACGGAATCATTGACGGTTTTATTCCAATAGTTTATCAATAATGCAGCAGCAGAAATTTCGGCTGAGATGGTAAACATGTCAGCAGGCATGCTAAAAAATGCATCGAACTCAAGTACCAGGTGCTGAAAGATGAGAGGTGAGTAAATGTAAGAAATGAAGGAGGAAGAATGGAACGTACAGACAATAGTCCAGTTATACCAGTAATTCCAACCCATGGCAAAAGAGAACGCAGGGTCAACGAAACGTTCAGCCAGTTTGATGTGACCACCAGCTATAGGCAGGTAAGCAACCTACGGAAATAAAGGTCAGGTAGGTACGTCTAGGATGTGCAGCAAGAATACCATTTCTCCCAAAGTGATCATGACGCAATAGACGATGGAGCCCATGACGATGTAACCGAGCAAGAGACCAATGGGACCTCCATTCCTCAGAGAGTTTGCGGTTCCAACAAAAAGACCAGTACCGATGACACCGCCAATACTTGAGGGAGGTGAGAATTGATCAGAAGAAAGAAGAAGAAGAAAACAAACCTGATCATGGCGACGTGACGATTCTTAAGTTTGCGTTGGAGGGTGGGCCGCGCGGGCCCCCGGACAGACTCTCCATCGCGGTCTGAGGCGTCAGAGCTTTCGCCTTTGCTAGTGTGATAAGCAGTAGGGTCTGTCTTTTCTACATTCATTTCAGGGATGCGCTCGTGAAGGTAGGAAGGAAGAGATAAGACTTGGATCTAAGTAAGGCCCATGGATATATGAGCGTGTGGGGGCGTGGCAGTGATTTCTTTACGGACTGTTTGATTGAATAAAGACGCCACGTCCGATAAGTGACATACCCGAATTAACCGAGCGGGATTACGCAGGTCAGGCACGATGTGGATGCATCGCTCCTCCTCCTCAGACTCGGATCTATCTGTGAAATTGGCTGGAAGGAGGTATGAGCATTAACACGTAGTTCCTATAATATTGTACAGCATAAGCATCAGATCAATACAGGAATCGACGTACATCACGTTACTCACGCGCACGGAGCAGTGACCCACTGATCAATCGATCATCTACTACTTGCTTTTCATTTAATGGTTGCCATGTGTCCGTGGTCATACCTCTAAAGTATGTATCTCCACAGTCTCTCACTCCATTAGAAATGAGTGAGTTTGGCTACTCGGTAACCTACCATGGGGACTGTTGATAATCAATTCTAATTTGCCAACTGTATCTTATTTTCAGCTGCTACTACAGCTAGTAATTGCATTTTGACAAGCCAAGGCTGGGCAAACACTTCCTGTATGCTCTCGTGACATGGTGTGGAGGCTCAGACCTGCCCCGTGACGGATCTCGCAACAGCTTGGTGTAGGCCTGGGCTGCAATGTGCATGTGCTCTAAAAACAAACCGATCACGCGGAATTGCCACAGAATTTTAATACCATAGGAAGAAAGGTGGGCTCGTCTTGAGCCAAGGGAAACTGGGGCATCGGGCCGACCGCAGTTCTTGTGACCTCCAGTTGGACTACAAGGTTGCGAGGCTAACAGCCACCACAGCAATGATGCGGTGACAAACGGCTGCACTTGGGCCTGGCCCATCTGCTGGTTCTGCCAAGCGAAGCGGTGCCTGCAGATTGATGATATGATATAGTTGGGCGGATGAGGCTTTAGGATACAAGACTCTGCGCAGGTACGCTAAGGGATTTCCCTGAGGCCCTGAATTCACGGACTATGTCGTTTCATGTGAAAAACCGACGATCCTTTGGGAAAGGCGTGATTAATTGAATCTATAGCGAGCAGGAGGAATTGCATGATGGCATGTGCACGATAAGCGGCAGCGACGCGAGCAGCCAGTTCGGAAACGGTCTGAGGTGAGAAATCGCTCGGCGATGCTCAGCAGCATTCCGCTGCGTCCGAGCTGCACGCGCCTATGCTTAAGTAAGCTCGGCCCCTCAACTTCACCGTGAGATTGCATTCACGCATGGTAACTTTATACACCTGCGCAGCTTGGTTCTGACATGCTTCAATCACGGAGTAAAGTCTTCTCGGTTTCCCCCGAGATCTATCACAGGAATATACTTGTTCCTTCGTATTAAGCATTTGAATCAACAGATATTACACGGAAAGTCGAAATCCGAAAAGTGGGGGTATCAATAAGGTAAAAATGTTCCAAGATCAGTGTGACCATCCCATTAAAGATCCCATCCAAACGGATAGACCGCGCCACGATGGTGGTGTAAAGTCGATGCTTGATGCAGGTTGTGATGATGAACACTGCCTAGCCAGATCACGGTCATGCGGAAGCTTGACCTTTGCTGCTCTGTTGCTCTCCAATGACCCAGGATCTGATGTGTGGAACAGGGGTATACGGGCACGTGCTGGTTTGCGGGATGGGCCCTTGGTTCGAGCTTTCTTGCGAGGCGGAGGAATAGTGCTGCCAGTATCAGCGACAGGTACCGCAGGATTAGGTGAATTCGTCGCAGGCAGGAAGTTCTGAACTGGGTCATCCTCTCTTCGTCGTTTGAGTACCCCTCGACAGGGCGTAAGTACGATAGCCTGTTTCCGGCTATTCTGCACGAATTCGTATTCTGTCTTTTGCAATATTCTGGGTCCTTCAGGTATATCTTTGTGCTCGTTCATGTGGAGCAAAGTGGAAAATGTGTCATCTCCTGCTGGCATTGCGATATCTAACAGGTTGGGGGCATTTGCACAGGTCGCGGTGTACGCGTTCTTCACGTCCTTCAGCATGAGATAGCGCTCACGTTGGCGTGACCTCTCTATATGGTGAACGTATGGCGAGTATCCATCCCGATCCCGCTCCCGGATTAGATTGCCTCGGGCTATGCCTCTACGTTTCTTGGCTAGCAAATAGTGACGAACCGCGTCCATGGGTGAAACCTCGCCCCTCTCGACCAATTCAGCGTGAGGAAGCCCTGCCTCACGACAAAGTGCAATATTTTGTTGTCGAATAAGTGCGGCGGTCATGGAGAGAGGTCTGACACGGACGGGAGCGGGAGGAACTTCAACATTGTCGGGCAGATCTGAATACCACATGTGTACACGATCACGAGGATTGACCCTGGACATTGCTGGCAATGGATGGATAGTGGAGGAGACGCGAGCAGATGACGAAGGTTCTGTTTCATGACGAATACGTTTTGAGGGTCGCGAGTCGAATGAAGCATGAGAGGCGTGGGGGGAAGATTCTCTATGACGTTTGCGTCCCGCCAATGAGGGTGACGATTTGTGGACTGCAGTTGGAGAGAGATCGATTGCCGACGTGAGAGATGATGTCGATGATGCCGCTTCAGACGCCTCTGCCCTGTCCCCAGTAGAAGGTAGTGGTTGAGAAAGCGCTTGGTCAGGACAGGATTCTGCTAGAGACTCAAAGAATGTCCGAATAGCAGTTTTCACCTCTTCCGTACTCTGTCCAGGAACAACGACGCGTATTGGGGGAGCGTCTGAATTCTTCATCCACGTATCCTGCAAGTCGTGAGGGTGGACAGGCGGTACAATCTTTTCCTCCTCAGGCTCCTCCTCATAAGGCGGAATGTATCCCGTGCGAGCTCCATGGGAGCGACGTCTCCACAACGCATCTCTCCGTTTATTTCGCTTAGTGCGCTGTACGAAAGCTTCAGTCTTCTGGATTTCACTCGCCCGAGCACCGTGGAGGTCAAGCTTGAATGCAAGCAAGCGTTTCTCGAAACGAAACTCTTCGTCCTCCGCCTTCTCCAAGCCCACGGATTCGTCGGGATTGGTAGTTCGACTCAGTTGGAAATCGATGAATGTAACGGCGCCGTCCCCGCCGATGAGAACATGACGAAGTTCAATATCTCCATGAAGAATACCTCGCGAATGGAGCATCTCGAGCCCTTGCATAGCACGTTCCTTGAGGACGTCGGGCATGGTAGGAGAGGCCTCCATCCAAAAACTTTGATGGGGTAATTCCATAGCAATGCTGATCGCGCCTGGCAGAATGTGTACACCGATTATGCGAGGGACAATGACGCCTTGCAGGGGCTTCAGGTATTGTTCTGAGCTGTAGAGAGCCATCTGAAAGACAGACATTCAGGAGACGAATGATTTGCATTATGTGCACGAACCTCGGAATCAAAACCGATCCAATCCGCTTGCTTGTCCAGATTCCATCTATGTCATATTAAGTCAATGACCATCATCACTCGGGACATTTGCTCACCGTCGGCTGATAAAAGTGATCTTTCGTCCGGCAATAACACCAGTTTGTATATAGGCTGAGCACATCGAGCCCTCTAAATCATTGTGAGTAAGACGAACAAAGATAACTCCGCGATAAAACGTACGTCGTAGGGATAACAATGTCTCTGTTTGTTGGATATCCTCACCAGCTGCCCATGCGTATGGACCGTGTGGCACGTATATCGAGATATCCTTAGCGGAACTTTCAGGCAACGAAGACAGGGTAGAAGAAGATCCCTCTTGTGGCGTTGAATCCTCGTCCGTATCGCCCCAGTCTACCATTGCTGCACACCTCTCCGCATCTTCTTGACGGGGCGTTGCACGCCGCAAAGGACTCAGGGAAGCTGGCGGATGATAGGGCGCAGTAAGAAGCTCAAAGAACTGTGAAGTGTGGTCTATGCATGATGGCACGTTGTAGTCGCGTGGAAAGATGGATGGTGCGGCGTATGTAGGGAGTCCATTTACTGATTTCTCGTCGTGGCAGCTTGGACTCGGAGACGATATTCGAGAGACTAGCAAGGTTGAGTCCGCCTCCGACTGCGATATCTGCTGTCGTGCTAAGGTCATGATGAAGCAAGTAGAGGGAGGCTAAATGAAAGGTAGGGGATGATGCTGGGGGGAGTGATATGTGGTTCGCATAGTCTAATTATGTTCGGTCCTTATAATCTGCTGTTGAAGTACAAGCGGCCACAGCGCAACTTAAACGTGTCCACACGCTTCGACGGCATTGTTTGTGGTTTCACCATCTTCAACACCTTCCTTTTACGGACAAGGCGATGTCCCATCATAGTGATTGCCTTGTTCTTGTTCTTCGTCGGAAGCAAACGGATGAAATGAAAATTATGAACAAAACTACAGTGACTATTGGTACAAAATAGAAAAGAATAGAAAAGATATGCCTGTACAGTTATTATCGATGAAGTACAACCCATAAAATAAGATTGTGTGCCATCCAGTACACTTGGGGGTGAACAAGTACACATACGCCACAATGCTAGGTTTTGTCATAAATATACATCAGTCCACAGCGAGTCATGATGTGAACGCCCATCCTCCAGGCATACTTATTTCACGTGATTTTTTGGACATTACAAAACGTTCAACGTTCGGGTCGTCCAAGGTCTTCAATTCCTTCGTAGATATGACAAATGCTTGCGATGGTAGCCGTGGAAGGGAGTAAAATGGATGTCGCCACGAATGAAGGTCCAGCGTGGATACAGGCAACGTCGTCTTCTTCGGCCCAGGTTCGTTAAAGGTGGCGTCGACAGGTACTGCTGAATGGAAATCCCGCAGTCTGTGGCAAAGCGTGGCGGGCAATCCGTTTGAAGTATGGGCATCACAATCCGGAACGCCACAGACCCCTTCCCCATCTCCGACACGTAAGTCCAACCAACTACCCATCATCTCGTACTCTTCCACTGACATCCCAGGAGACTCGTATGAAGTGTTAGAGGTATGCCGTTCAGCTAGCCATGCAGCTAGGGTAGCAGAGTCTGATGATACAAGACTGCTCAACGAAGCTCGTGGGACAGAGATATCTTTGATAGGAGAATCAGAGCAGACTGGGGATGGGTTCTGCGTAAACACCATACAGTCACCCGCAGATGAGACCGGGTCGTCGCTACGATTCGTCATCTTTATATCTGAACGCCCACAGGAGAGTTTCGGGACCTTGCCAATGCGCGAGACGACGCTCTTAACGCTCTTTAGGCCGCTCCTAACCGATTTCTTGAAGCTCTTCCAAGAACTGGAACGCTTTTCCACATTCGTTTGTGTTTCCGTGGTAGAATTCGAGCCCCATGGCTCTGGTGCGACAGCTCCACTACGTGAGTAAAGAGGTGAGATAGGTGATTCCGGCATCAATGGAGGAAGAATGCGATGCCGTACGGCAGATGGCCACGGAACATAAGGACTATTTGGATGGTGGAAGGCAGGAATCCAGTGCGGTCCTTCATAAACCTTTTTGTTCTTAGTTTTGCGAACAACCACTCGTCCAGTAGATGAGATGTGGCTAGATGAATGACGGAACAAAATAGTGGCTGGGAGGGAGCGGGAAGACTTGTTACGACACTGATTTACAGGCGAAGGAGATGCTAACGAATGTGTGGTTGAAAAATTGAGAAAGGAAGGTAGCTGCAGTGTGGATGCAGATGGCACAGGGGGAAGGGGGCGAAATGACTCAATATTGTATTGCAATCTGTTGACGTGAGTGACGGGTTGGTCAGGAGGAACAAGCTTCTGCTGCTCCTCGCGGGGCTTCTCAACAGCGGCAGGTTTTTCCGATGATTTACGCTGTATCTTTAAGGGCCCAGAAGCGTGGGGGTGCTGAATTGACTGTTCAGTGATATTTAAAGGCCAGCCGGTGAGCGAGTTTTTTATTACATACAGCATGATTCACAGCCGGCAGTGTCTTGTCCGCAAGGGGTGGACGAGATACCCGCTGAGCCTTGCGCTTTTTGACCTTCCTGACCTTAAGGTATGGCTCGCCGTCGAGGGTACATGTTGATACTGCAGATGCAATTTTTGAAGGAGCGCTGATCTTCAAGATCATTTCGTCGAGCCCAGCCAGACGTCCAGAATAGTGAAACATGAATGAATGTCGAGTGGTAACGAGTGTTAGGAACAGAAGATGAGGCCAAAGAGAAACAAATGAATGAGGGTGCTAACACTGTAGTAGTAGTCGATATCACACCACCCCGGGGCGACATACTTAACAAAGAATGGAAGGTAGAGCTAACCAAACAACGCGTACACAAATGAATATAGGAGACAAAAAGGATTGTCCATTTTTTATTGGCCGACTCTACGCGATCCAGAGAAATTATGTAACAATCATCTAGCTCATTGTAAATGACAATGCGCTCTGCAAAATTCCGTTCTCACACATCGTGCGCGCGAGGACTTGATTGGTAAGTGTATCTGACATATGGAAGGATGTTCTGCGGAAGTAAACCGCCTGATTCCCACTGTGGGTACCGGTGAACTCCTAGATCCCACTAGAAAACATGACTCTTTCAAGTTTCTTCTGAGTTGTGCTTCCACGCCTATATATGTTTTACATAATTAATACTCCCAATCATGCAGGTCTTGTTCTAGCCACACGCACCTCGAAAAAACGACGTCTATCAGTCACACTTACGCCCCTACAGCTTGTGAGGTTCAACGTTTGTAATTTAGGGCAGGCGTCGATAACAGAAAAGAGACCAGCACCTGCAGTACTTCAACCACAAGGCAAAACCCAAGATAGCACGTCCGCTTACTGCTTATTTTTGTACCCGCTAGTTCCAGCACCACAAGATTCGGGCAACATGCCAGATAAGGCGTGGCATCATCCTCCACACCGGTGTTGTTGAGAATGAGCTGTTCGAGTCTGGGTGGTCGGTTTTCGGCATCTTGCGGCAAGAGCCCAGAAAGATGAAGAGACTGTAGGTGATGCACGCCTGACAAGTTGAGGTACTGATACAGAATTCAGGCATGACATAGCTTTTAAAAAAAATGCAATGGATACCAACCTTGCATTTCCTTCCGACGCATTGAATGAAGTATCCCAGGGCTCCACTACCACGAAAAGTAGCCCCCAATTTTGTATTTCCGACCAGACTGATCTTTTCGAGTTGCCCAAAATCCTTCAACACGTCTGTCAATGACTCCAGCGTCTGGTCCGTCATCGTCATCGCAGAGGTGTTCCCAATAGCTACCGACGACCCTTGTCTACCTCCCAGCGCCCCGAGAGCCAGATATTTGATGTGAGGAAGGCTAGAGACGAGCGCCACAATATCAACGCTGGAAATCGCAGTAGATGTCAAGGACAGCTTTTCAATTCTCGCCTCTGTTAACACAACCAGTAGTGGTCGGTGGACATGCGTGAAGGAGAGGTCCAGCCGAATGAGGTTCGGACAGCGGGCCAAAAAAGAACTAATTGAGCTTTCTGAAAGGCCCAAATGACGTAGTTTCAATGTTTGTATATTCCTCAGTTTGAAACTCTCGTCTTGGAATACAGCAGAAGATAATTTTGCAAAGGTTGCATCAGTCTAGGCTGCAATGAATCAACAGTTCAAAAAAGTTTAAGCTACTTACCCAGTTCGGTATCCCGGCAAGCTTTAGCACCTTAAGGTCAGGACAAGTTTTCAGGAGTGGGACAAGCGCCACAGGCGGCACAGCGGTGTAGTTAAAGTTCACGGTTGAAAGCAAGGGGCAAGACCGTGCAGCAGCTTCCGCAGTGGCGGGCCCCACTTTGACGCAACCACTGCACAAAATCAGGGCCTCCCAACCGCAGTCGTGAATCACACTCACCGAAGAACCAAGACTCTGAGGGACGGCAAGGACGGCAGGACAGTTGCAAACACAGAGTCAGCGAATTTAACGAATCCTGTAAGGTGTAACTCATGCAGTGAGTTTCCAGCTCCAGGGACAGCCAAAATTGTAATTTTGTTCACTGCTGGGAGGTCACTGGTCAGTACGATCGATGGGCCTCGTAAAAAATACTAACAGAAGATGAGCAGCATATCGGGGGGGTAAGGAATGTGCATACGGAAGTTATCATTGCGTTGGTGAGGATTTCTGGACAGGAGGATCTCAGCATAGCGAACAGTTTGGGCACCAGATTGTCAGGTATAAGTTTCAACCACTTGAGTGTGCTTTCCCAATCATCACGAGTTTCGTGTAGTGCGCGCAGGTTTGAGACGAAGGAGCGCGCGCATAATGCTGAAAGGTTAGGAATTGGTCCAGTGGATGACACTGAGCGAGTGGAAAAGGCAGATGCTGTAGAGAGGCTCGATGCGAGATTGACCCGATCATCCTGAGTTTCTGCACCAAAGGCAGGGACTTCTCCCTTCCGTCGTTTCGCAAGTCGTTTGGAGGGTTCCGCCTTCCGTTTCGACATGAGAGTTGGTCGCAACGAGTTTCGAGTCTGAACTTTCCGATTTGAGCAATTATCCCATAAGTACTTGGTATGGACTACACTAAAAAGTAATGCCGGTATCTGTGGAAGTACGATAATACCAGGATCTAATAATACCCAACACGTTTATCGGGTAGGGTCACGCTAGACCCCAAAGCCAGAAGCCAGAAATCACAGCTCCAATCAATCCTACACTGACTCTCCACAGCACCCGCTCCACTGACTCTGTGTACGGAATCACTGGATGCCCCAACCAAGAGAACGCTATGCAAGGCACTCGCACAACAAGTTGGAGCAAGTTGAATGGAACCGGAAAGTAATAAGGCTCATATTGGACAAGGGCTTCCACAAATGACCTGCGTGCGTGCAACCCGATTTCTCGTGAGTAATGATCCCATTTACTTGTTGATGTGGCTGATGATGCCAAGGTTGGGAACATCGCCAAGGCCACGCCAAGTCCACCCAGTAATAACATAATGACAGTGATGAAGAGGATGAAGAACGAGAATCGGCTATCCAACGGAGCTACTTCCAGAGTGTTTGTCAACACCAACAGGGGAGTGTCGACAAGCGAGGCAGATACGAGGAATGTCGTGAGTAATAGGACCGGAAAGAAAAAGAGGGTGACTGGTATGACGATGCGAGTCGCTCCGTGCTGAAAGCAACGTAGAGAGGGGTATGGTGCTCTCAGGCTTTATTGCGGAAGGTAAGCTGGGAGAGTTAGGTAGGTGAAGGAGAACCAGCTGGAGTAGGAGGGCAATGTGAAGCACAGAGAATGGGACATTTCCAGGTAAAGGGACAGATGGAAGAGTCATGACGAATGTGGGAATACAAGCATCGCCGGCAGAGTATGTATTGACCACCGTCGAGCGAGTGATGCGGCAGACATGAAAGTAAGAATGACCTCTCGAGTGCCTTGCTCGTTTTGTCCAAGGGTTATGTGGAAGTGTGGTGGATATAGCAGGTAGTGAATGAGTGAACCCATAAAAACCAGTCGGCCCAAAACATCAATGAAATGTAAAACTCTGTGAATGATATGAGGATTACACATCGAGATTCGTATCTGCGGCCACACACCTGGGTGTGGAAAGAGCATCGAAGTGTCCTATTAAACTTAAACCGTGATCCTGTGTGGATCCAGCTTTCATTCCATATTTCCAACACTTAGCGACTAGCGGCTTCTACAACAGGGTGTGTGAGAAGCTCCGGAGGAACATGGTCCTCCGTCAACATATCGATTACTGCTCAACCATGATTTGCGAATTGATTACTGTAGACATTGTGCTCACCTCTTGTAGTCGCGTACCCCGTATCTTCCAGAGGAAAGGCTGTCCAAAATATAGTTTGGATGGTAAAAGAACTACTGTGATTCAGGAGGAATTGGTTCAATATTTGGCTAGTACGTCGTCCGGTATCCTCAACGACAGCCGAGGCGGCTCTGGCATGGTGCCAGTTTTCCCAGATATCCGAAGAGTCGTTCAGGGAACTGTACTGTGATTCGTTGTAATGTAGTTGGACGAGCAACAGAAATGCAATCCGTTCTGCATCAGATGGAAACCTGTATTGCGAATCCAGGGTATCTTGGGCATTCGAGCCTCCCAACCGGTACCGACGCACCACAGGAAGCACAGCAGGACGCTCCGTGAAACCAGGTGACGCTGATAGCAGAGGAGTAGCTTCGTTGACCTGCAGTGTTTCATTCATGAGTGTGATGGTAACTAAACACGTTGTGACCGACAAGCACAAACACAACCATACCCTAGTACCCGGTCAGGGACAAAGTCATGTCGATCGTTAGACCTACGCCTTGAGCTTCACCAACAATGAGCACAAACACGCCGTTGCTGCAGACCATCGAACCTGATGATACTTCGACGGTGCAAGTTCCGTCCAGAAACACCACATCTAATACGCGACCTGCGGTAGTGTTGACACCTACTAATAATAATATGGCCTCCACTCCGGCCGATGCAGAATCAGGTTTGTATGTCCATAATATATTCTTTTATTGTCTTTAATAAAGATTCACAGGCATTGCTGGTATATTGAAACAGGTTTGTATCTAAAGCAACGTGTTTGACTTGTTAGACCGATTCTCAATCGCACTCAGTCTGCCCATCCTGCAGCTTTGTTTTGCCTATATTTCTTCCGGACATCCGCCATCGTCGTGTACATCTTGTGTGGACTGTTGACAGACAATTATGTCCTTTCTGTGAGTGGCAGACCTTTTGAATGTCTCGTTTCTCACCGGTTGCCCGTAGACGGTGGTGGTAGTCGTCTTACTTGCAATGGACTTCTGGAATTGTAGAGTAAGCTTTCGCGAGGCTCATGTTTGACAATCGATTAAGGTGTGCAAAGAACGTTGCTGGTCGTACCCTCGTTGGCCTGCGTTTCTGGAACCAGGTGGATGACGACGGGGAGAGCTATTGGGTATTCGAGAGCAGAGACGTACGAAAGAATTTATAATCTTTTGCTGCTAGCTGTCTCATTCCTCGCTGCTAGCCATCAAGACCAGCAAATCCAGTGGATGCCAAGTGCGTATCATTTCCACCAATGAAAGTCGAGTTTACTCTGACCATGGTGCGAATAGGATGTTCTGGGTAAGTCAGAACTTCCACATTAGACTTACCACCTGCACATGTCACTTTGCAGATAGCTCTTTACGTGTTTCCAGCACTCTGGTTGCTACTCTTTGTAGTCTCTTTTCTCCGCTTCAGCCTCTCGTGAGTTGGAAAGAAGTGTGTCCACTCAGTTCGTCACTTACCATCTGGCCAGGTTTATACCCATTGTGGCTCTAGCGCTTGTCTTCAATCTCACCAATGCTGTCGGATTCACTTATGCGTCAGTTTATGCCTTTTCTACGTTGTTCGATGCTCAGAGATGTCGCTTTCAGAGACAGGGATGCAAAACAAAGATGGGCGAATAGTATCGCGTCTTCTGGATGGAATATGGGAATGGGGGGTATAGGTGGGCAGATCCTGAGTGGCGCCATGAAGAACAGTGTTGGGAGATTGTTCGGATGAATGGATGCTTGAAAGTTCATTCATCGTACTTGATTCCAAAGGCCAGTTGTGATATAGCTAGTGTTACACAATTGCGAAAGTTGCAATAATAAATGCTGTCAGTCCAAATGAAAACAATGGACACGAAGACGAAAGCAATGGACACGAAGATGGAAACAACAACATGAAGGACAAACACGAAATGCGAACAACGGCCTACGTAACAGATCTAGATGGTACAACATGTGTCATTTATGCCTTTCTGCGAACGCGCGTACGAAAGGAAGCGATGCAACATAACAGATGCAAAGTCGCAGACCAGTGTCGTTTACTCAAATCCAACCCAACCTCGTGCATCAACGCGAGAATATGCCGTTGTCGGTGCCACCGAAGTCCCAACGCCAATAAAAGACCTCATGCGACCATGAGAGCGAGAGGTGGATACTCGCGGGGTGTGTTGTGATGGGAATGGGTAAGCAGTGTTCTGTACATTGGATGTTACAGTCATGGTAGATGGCGTGCGCAATGCGGTCGTGAGATGTGTGGGTGAAGGTGGGAAGACGAACAAAGTCTGAGAGGGCGTCGCGGCAATAAGTTGTCGTGGTGGAGTAGTTTTCGGGGGAAATGCAAGTTGACTGGCGTTTCCGCGGAGTTTGAGCGGAGGTGGCGCTGGTTTATGAGCCGGCGTCCGGCGACGGGTACGGGGTGTCTCTTGACTGTCTTGTACAGCGATAGGCGTGATGGGGGAAGGGGGTACCGTGGGTAGTATGCCTAACGGGGGTGGTCGCCGCTTGCCCTTGCCCGCAGGGAAATTGAAAGTCGATTGCACTGCCGTGCCGGGAGGTTGATGAATATTGAATGTAAGTTTCGTTGCAGGTGCCGAAGGCACGGGATCAAACGATTTGCTTCGTAAGGGTGGGCGATGGAGCGAAGCTTTACAAGACGAAGGTTGAGTACTATGTTCGCTTGTGCCAGGCGATTCGCTGGACAATGACAAACACGGACTTCTTCGAGGTTCTGTGGCTTCATCGAAGCCTCCACCAATTCCTAAGAGCTCTTGCTCCTCGTCCGCTTCAACCAAATCCTCGCTTAGAACGCTGCCGGTTGTATGGATGCTGGCAACTGAGCCGGTTCGCTTGCGCCCATATCGGCTGCGCCACGCTGGACCCATGCCCACCCCCGATGAGGAAGCAACGGAGGATACCGAAGATTTCCTTGCGATTATGCGTTCTTCCATAGCCCGGTCGAGGTCTTTAGCCTCCTGTTGGATAGCATCGTCTCTGTCATCCGTTTCATCATTACCATACGCGTTACGGCGACGACCCCACTCCTTTTCTTCGTCACTGATGAAAGAAGACTTGTCTGATTCGGCGGGCGAGGGACCGCCGCCTTTGAGAGCCTTTTCATATTCCAATAATTGGTAAATGAGACTAAAATTAAAACAGCATTGAAATCGAAGACCAAGTGGCGAGAATCGAGGCTTGCTTACGACATGTTTGGACCAACATGCTTACTTTTCTCTTTTACAAATGAGTATGCTGCTTGCATGCCTTTCAGCTGCCACACCTCAGGGGGTACGTTAGGTAAACACATGGCAGCGGCACGCATCACAAGAGCGATGACCAGTGTAGCTGAGCGCGAGATGCCACATTGGCAACTGCACATAACATGAGGACTATAGATTCAACACATCTACGAAACTACGCACTGGATGAGTACGCCTTCATGACGATTGAGTGCAGCATCTACAAAGGTCATAGCTGTAGGAAATCCTTCCTGGACAAGATCTGCCTGTCCGTGAGACCAAGGCAATTTCAAGTAATGCATGCCTGGACGCCCAGAGGAAATATGGGCAGGGTAATATGTCGAGGTCGTGGATTGCGTTGCCTTGGATGCCTTGGAGCTAAGATTGGGAGTTGATGCGAAAGGTCGCAGGGGTTGCGCAGCAGAAGAATCAAAAGGTGACGTGACTTCCTTTGCAACGTTGAGGATCGCCTTGATCCGGCGCTCCAGGAGGCCAGGCCAATCTCGCGCATTGTCCTCAGAACCAAGCCAGATCCCAGGAAGAATTTGAATGGGACCATTCACATATGGTGCGGTGGGAGAACCATCCTCATCTGTTCGATGAAGGACGGTGGCAATACCAGTATTTGGCAATGAGAGCACAGACGGCCGTCTAGGACGAATAGCCTGGTAAAGGTCCTGCTGTGTGTCAATAGCACTCAGGGAATCTGAGAGCGGTGAAACAAGAGAATTTGACGAAGATTGAGCCGATGGAAGATTAATTGACAGCTTTTTCATGTTTCTGAGTGACCTTGGTTTTTTATGTGCAAGAAGCTGAGGGCTTGATGCGGAATCGGAAGCGGAAGAAGAGGGGGCAGATGGAGAGGTGGCCTCGTCCGTTGCGAGGACTATAAGGGGACTGTGTTCAGCAGGAGTGTCAATGCGGAGGGCTGTGGGGGGACATCTTTTGCGTGTGGCCATAGATGACGCCTGGACCAACTGCGGTAAATATTGATTTTCGGTGGATTGCATGACAGGAGTCAAAGATATGAATTACACGACCAGCGTGTCACCTTGCCTGCAGGTGATTAGATTGATCAAGTTGGAGTCGAAAAGATCTCCGTTATTCCTGAACACAAGGCTCAAGTGCTATGAAAATATAAATTTCAGTAAAACAACACAAGGATGAAGAGGAAGAAAGAAAATAAGAAAACGGTCGGATACCAGGAACAAGGAGAAACTCGAGTACAGCGGAAGAAGTGACTTAGCCATCCACTTACATAATCATAATAATATCCATGCTCTTTGTACTTGTGTGTGTAACATTTTAATGGCGGTCGCAGTGACCACAGCCCCGTCACTATAGTGTGGGGAACGTGGTATCCTCCTTTCCGATCGCTTATGCATTTAATCCGGCTCCGCTACTTTCATTTTACCAGATAACGTCGGCGGACGTTCAACGTTCATGCATTTCAGTTCCGGTTCTCCAGACGAGTCGTGTTCGGAACTTCAGAACACGCAGACGAAGCCTTCTCAAAGTTGACTTATAAGTTATCCTCGCACATTGCTGCGAAAAGGTAGCTCTCGGCTGACTCCTCCAAGCTCCACGCATCCTTTCGAAGCTCAATCCCTTTGTAAAGTCCGTCAGCACTGCGGCGTATCGATCCGATCTTATTGGCAATATACAAGATGCGTTATCACCCAATCTGCTTTCGCTCCCAACCTTAGTCAAAAACGATTGACGCCCCCGATGAATTGAATACCTAAAATGGAACAGTCCATCTGCTCCTCAACTTCGAGCAGTGTTAGCTGAGAGGTACTTGATCACCCGGCTACCTGTCTCAACCGATAATGTAACTATCATTATAGGTTAGGTTATCCTGCGTCGAATCATGGGAAATGACTGATCTTGGTAGTCACGTCTGTCAACTATGTCACTAGCCGAGCCAGCCCGCGATCTGAGTGTTAAGAACGACATGGCACTCGCGCTCGGGGTAAAGATGGCCGAGCCTGGGCAGTACAATGTGATCACTACCGTCACGGTGACATCCCGGGCAGTGGCGTAACTCCGCTCCTCCCAACTGACTGCACAGACCCACTACATCGATGATGCCATTAATATCACAAAACCTATCTTAGCGAGAGCCTGGCAATCCTAGAGAGCACGCCATTTTCGGTGTTATTTGATGGCGCACTCGACAAGACTCGAAACTTGCACCGTCAAGTCAACTTTCTCTTTCGACTACTATTACTTCCCACTTCCCGTGCTAGCCGTTCAAGTTGGCTGGGCACGTCAACCCTAGTCCTCTGATCTTCATGACAACCCTGGCATATCCCTCTCGAGTTCAAAATAATCTTCAAGTTATTACCCCATACCCCAGGAGCACACTGCTCGCTTACTTATTTTCCAAATTCCAGCTCGTTCGGAACGCACTCGACTCACGCAAAGATACGAAGTAACTAGTGGGCGGCCCACTAAGGTTCGACATTACCGACTCTCACCTTACTCCGTGGTACGCGGTTCTATTTCTGCGCCTTCATTTTGTTGCGACGTACTAGCGTCTGTTAGCTACAAGTGCTAGCCATTTTGGCCATCGAAACTAAAGCTGTGTATAGTGATACTTGAGACGAGACTGCCTTTTCATTCACACTTTGGACGAACTCGCAGTTGCGTTATGCACACCTTTTTTTTCTGTGGTTCAGGGTGTGTTTATAGTTGGAATTGTGGTGGTCACTAGGGCCCAAAGCGCCGCGTTTCAAATATTATAAATGCTTTCCATATATACTAGTGCTCGCCAAGCGATGCGAGACTGGTAACTTGTGCACAGAGGAACCACCTAAGCGCAGTTCGTGTGAGGACAGAAGTCTGGTTAAGCGTTTCCGGAGCCCCATACCCGTGATAGACTGAAACTCGGAAGTTTTGATTAGTATGTACGTACGTGGTGTTGACGTGGTGCTTATGAAACCATTGAAACATGAACCGCCAACAAGCTCTGTTCGCCGTCTCTTTCCTTTCGACATTAGCTGTCCTTGTACTTAGTTTTCATTGGCTGCGAACAAAGCTAAGAGAAGCTGGTTACGACGTCTCACGACTTATACTTATCGGATTAGAACCAAAACTCAATACCACCCAGTCCTCTGACCATACTAACGGCACTCCAATGGCATTCGGAATCGACAGTTCATACACGCAAGTGATCGCTTTGGCACTGGCGGTGGCGAGCAGCGTGTTCATCTTCGTCAAGTTCGGCCCTTCGTCGAGTGCGTTCATGGTCTGAATGACCGTTTCATGCTCTTCAATACCGTCTTTCCGCTCACGCATTTCCAATACAGAACGAAAGCCAGTACTGAACCCCCAGGTTTGGAAAGAATTCTCGCTCAAAGAAAAGATCGATATCTCGCCCAATACCGCCATGTGCGTTCAATTGTGTGTCCTTCATGCTAACCATCGAATGACCGCTGTGGCCGCTTAGCTACCGGTTTGCCCTGCCTCACCCGCAGGATGTCCTTGGCCTGCCCATTGGGCAGCACATTTCGGTTTCTGCAGAGATAAACGGAAAGGACATCATGCGTAGCTATACCCCAACTAGCAGCGATGATGACCTCGGCCACTTCGACCTTCTCATCAAAGTAAGTCGCCGTTTCCACTTAGGACTTGACTAGCCATTCTTATTCGGGCTGCAGTCATATGAAAAGGGCAACATTTCGCGTTACATCTCTCTTCTTAAGATTGGCGATAAGGTCCGCATTCGTGGCCCGAAGGGTGCTTTCAAGTATACCCCCACGCTGTCGCGCGAGATTGGTATGATTGCGGGTGGTACCGGCATTACGCCCATGTTGCAGATCATCCGTGCTGCCTTAAAGAACGCCGAAGACAAGACTAGGCTCAGTCTCATTTACGCCAATGTCAACTTCGAGGATATTCTTCTTAAAAAGGAGCTCGATGCTCTCGCTGCTGCCCACCCCGAGCGTTTCCAGGTTTACTATGTACTCAACAATCCTCCGCAGGGTTGGAATGGTGGTTCAGGTTTTGTAACCAAGGACCAGATCGAGAAATACATGCCTTCGTCAAATCATGATATCAAGGTCCTTATGTGCGGTGAGTCAGGTGTTCATTCTTACACGTTAAAATTAGCTGATGGTTCTCACGCAGGTCCACCACCGATGATCACCGCCATGAAGTAAGTGGAATTGGTATTTGATTTTGAGCAACATATTAACAAGCACTTTATAGAAAACATCTTGCAGAGCTCAATTACTCTGCTCCTCGCACAATCAGCAAGTTGGAGGACCAGGTAATCAAGCCACTCTCAAACGCCGATGTCCCATTTGCTAACGTCGTTTTACAGATTTTTGCTTTCTAAATACATTTTGGTCCCCCTGGAGTAGATTTGGCAATGTAATCGAACTAATACCATTGGCTTTTGGTTTTATACTTAGCGGGACGTGCGGTTCAGGAGCAAATGCCTCATGACGGATGACAGTCTCTGATCACTGCGTAACCACACGGGACATCGGCCTGTTTGAATAAGTTCTAATCTCCTGTGGCCTCACGAGTGCAGTAGCTACAGCTGAAGTAGCTCGAAGGCTTCGGATGACGGTCGGTTCTGCAGTAGGAATTTGGGTACGCCGGACTACATAATACTCCGAACTGAGGCAGACCCACGTTGCACCGCCATGATGCAGCCTAGCCCTTGATAACTTAGCCTGTCAACGCCAGTGCTCGAGCCTCGGCGCTCTGCTCCAGCAGTGTTTTTGGTCACCAGATCCAGCTTACAGTCCTAGTCACGCCTGTCTGTCACGTGTCAGGCCGACCAACTAACTAGGCGGCCCGACAGGAGACTATTTCTTGAGTCAGTCAGCATCCTCAGTACCTGACTTTCTCCCATATCATATCATTCCGATATTTTATTCTTCATATTGACGAATGTCAAACCCCATCCTCTACACATTTGGTCCTTCCGTCTGGGCTTCCGTGCCAGAGCTTGCCTTGTGAGTCTCGGCTTTCCTGGTGTGCCACGTCCAAGCAACGCTGATTCCATCCCAGGGTTGAGCTGGGATACGACCAAGATGATATTGAGAAGAAGGTCGTGAACCTCGCGGAGGGTGAGAATTTTGCTCCTGCCTTCCTGAAGATCGTAAGTCTTCATCCTACAGAAATATTAACCGCTTATCGTTCTACCAGAATCCCCGAGGGACATTACCAACCTTTCAAGCCGGAGGAAAGGCATACACCAGTACTGCCGAGGTGACATCGTACCTTGTGGCCCACGCTAGTAACCGTGTCACTGTCGCCCCCGGGACTGACTTCATCAACAAAATTCATGAAGAGCAGTACGACCCGAATTTCCTCATGGTGTCAGCTGTATGACACATTGCAATCAGACGGGGTATGTCTTATTGACAATTTTGACTTCAGCGTCACGAGGACGAACTGCGAAGCAAAGCATCTGGATTTTCTATGACGTTCATCCAAAACCGTAAGTACTGCAGGGCTACCCCTGTATCTAGCTTATCTTATCTGCCTTAGCTCAAAACGTACTAGAAAAGCACTCAGCAACCTCCCAGAGCGCTGACTACCGGGAGTTTTACGACACAAAGATCGCTGAGAACGGCAAGGTTCTGTCGATCTACCAATCCAAGGCATCAGAGAACGTCAAGAACAGTTTCTTCGAGTCTTCTAGGGCTCACTGGGACACATTGAAGGCCTTCATTCTGAAAGAACTCCCTGACATACTTCCGGAGGGCGGTTTCCTTGGAGGCGACAAACCCGGTGAAGATGACTTCCATCTTGCGGCCTGGCTGGCGCGCATTGTCTTCGTTGCTGGTGGAGCAGACTCGAGCAAGCATGGTGTGCGTGCTATCGAGAAAGAGCTGGGTAAGCCAACTCCGGAAAAAGTTGCGTCATACTGGGCAGCATGGAGTAAGCGGAAGAGTTGGCAAGAGGTGTATGCTAATGGACTACATTGAAAGCGTATTTTAGATCACGGATCAACCAGATACTAGTGACGAGAAATCGTATACATTATTTTACATATATTACTTGTACAGGAGTAGTCTTTAATGGACGAGTAGAAATCTCACTATATGCGGCGGAGAGCTCAATTGCGCTCTGCACTGTCATGCTGTCACGAAACATGTTCATCATTTACGCGGAAATTTACCAACAGTACGCAGGTATATGACGGAAACGAGCATCAGTAATACTGCGAAGGATCGCGACTACATGTTAAAGCTCGCTATGAGAGGCGCAAGACTCTTCGCCTAGGAGACCAACTAAATCTCAGAAAAATCGGCGATACATGAGATGACAATACGGATTCATACTGTACTCTGGACCGTTCATGGATGTCTCCCGTTGACGGCGACTGTCCTGCGAAGGTTTATTACCGTTGGAATAAATTAGGTAGCAGATGGCAGGTGGATATGCTTGGAATTACTTGCGTACATGCTATTGAAATACGGAGATGTTCTAGAAATGTCCAGTGCCGGACATTCCATGCGATAGAGTACAAGGATGATGAGTTGGCGGATATGGACCGACTGTGTGTCCTCTAGGACGAGGCTTTCATCTATTCGTTTGCATCCTGGACTCTTCCAGCATCTCCGACCTGCACTCCCACAACCTGTTTGCAAAAGTCAGTACAACGTTTCTAAACAAACACTGGGATGACACGCACATCTGTAAAATGGAAGCAACAGCGTTCATTCCCCGCTGATATTCTTCTTCCGTCGGTTCCCTGTCTACCGTTCGCGCAAGTTGTATGGCTGAATCGTAGTAATGCAATTCCGAGAGGCCATCTTCATCCTTTGGCAGGAGTGGTAGAAGAAACCTGAAATGATGCAGCATGCGTGCATGGGGTTTCAAATTTGGATGACTGGGTATAACGAGACGTGCTCGGGCGTCTGACCAGATCAAACCTACATAATGTGCAGAAGTAGTGTTACTCACCAATTTCCGCGATCGTATCAAGAAGAGCGCGTCGAAAACGAATACCGCTAAGTCTAGTTCCTGCCGTGCGTTTGGAAACCGATGATCAGAGAACATGATCCCATGCTTACCTGGTCTACCCCACCCACTGTGGACTGTGTTGCATGGCTGTGATTCATATGCCACCAAGCAAGAACGCGCAAATTCTTGTGAAATATACTCATGAACGGGCTTTACGGATATTTAAAGCACATGCCTACATCTTAAAACTTAATAATTTTGACGCACCTGAGGAACCTCCTTCCTAACGATCGAATAGTGCGTCTTCGCAATCCTCTGCAATCGGCGACGCACTGCAATTCGCCGTTTCACACAGAGGGCGATGGATATGATGCACTACAGACAATTGAACAACGCAATCATGAGAAGCTACCTGCATTTTGTAAACAAAACTTACCACAAGCAAGTATGTTGCTGCAATGATTACAGCATCCCAGTCGTTTGTCCAAGACCTGACAGGTGAAGTTCTGATGGCCTGCGACAACAACAAGGCACATGATATGGCAAAGAAACAACCGGTAACAAGGACAAGGAGTGCATAGCAGATGTCAGAGATCCAAGCCCGCGCTCGAAGTGATGGTTTTCGCATTCAACTATGACATGCGCAAAGTGTCTTGGTGGCTTCAATTGCTTTGTATTACGTAAAACTATCGTCCAACACTCATTTATGACTTAGGACAACGTACATGACGACTTCTACGGAACCACCCTACTATCTCTTGGTGTCTCATTCGTCTTTTCAGCACAGCCCTGGTCTGAGTTCCAACTCCCTCGCGCATGCAAGCATAGAATATCGCTATGCGGACGACTCACCTTTGATCCTCTTGTCGCGTCATCCTGACGAGCATGTCCTTGTGTTAAATCATGATCCAGGAAAGGGAGATACACCAACGGTTCAGAGCACTTCTAGTCACATGGCTGTAACGGGCATCAAGGTGTCTGTGGCACCTGGTGCTAGCGCCAATGAGGAACACAGCGCGAACGATAATATGTATGTTTTGGAAGTTACATCCACTTCTGACGACCAGTAAGCGGTTCCTTTTTTGCCAGTCGACTTGATGAGACTTAGTTTGCCTCAGCTTGAGCATGGAGTCATCCCATGTCTCCTTACAGAACCCCCAAGCAATAGTTGCTCGGTTCAAACAGAGGTCTGCTCAGTTTAACTGTCAAGTCTCAGGCTCTATAATCTTCACAGAAATACGGTGCTTCGTTGTGTCTTCGATTACCCCGGAATCGGGAAGGCCAGTGGTATCTCGCCATCTCGGTCTAGCTCACGGCCAAGATCGCCACGTCCGACGTAGTTTCACGCATGTAATACATTATATTTCAACCACAGCCACTTCTCCCCTTCTGTGAAAGAAATGTAGGAGTATATGTCATCGGCGTTTATTGCCTTTACCAGCTTTCCGTTGCTGAAGCGTTGAAGGGCCTGTATTGGACTTTGCGACAGGCGTGCTTGCTTTAGTTTCTTCACCGGCAGAGAGAAGAGCAGATAGCCTATTATATATAGGCATGTCAACTCGTGGATTGTATACAATGGATACGTACCCTCTGGGATCGCCATTCTGGATGGACTTCTCTATACTCGCAGCCGTCGCGTGTCCTTTCAGTCCATCGAGTGTTTCCGGGTCCAATTGTTTCTACACCATCATGAGGGCGGAAAGCAAATCATACACACATAAGCTCACCACGATATAGGGCATTGCAAGCATCATCACGCCAGTCAATACCATGATCATCATCATTGGGCTCTGGAACATCCCCAGGAGATTGAAGGATTCGTGAGGCGAGAAGTATCTGTTCTTGTGACGGGGGGTCAGCACGATTGGATAGGGAAGGTTAAAGGAGGTCGTTGTAAGCAGAGGAGTGCCGAATATGTACGGTCGGACTTCTGGCAGAGTCTCGGAAGGAGAGACATCTATTCGAACCTAGGTAGGGTCTGATGAGCACCGCCCGAAAACACAGAGGGAGGGCTTACATGGTCAAACGAATAATCATGGGATAGTACGGAGAGAACATATGTCCCTGGGGGGACATCTAGTCTGTGCAAGTTCGAGGTGGAGGTGGGAACGTGCTCTAGAGAAACACAGCCTTACATTGAGAAGTTTCCATTGCGTGTGACGCGTCCTGACATCTTTCCTGCATCAAGAAGGACCTTAGGCAGATGCAAGCGCCCCGTAGTCTGGTTACTGCGATGAGAGGTGCATGCCACGCAGTCAGTACGGAGGACTCACCAGGACACAGTTTATTCCATTGTATGTACCCGTGTAATTCTACGGCAAAGGTGATACTAGAGGGAACGGTAAGCGGAGTATTAGAGACAAAGCTATTGGACTTGCCTTGACCACGAGAGAAGGAAGCCCAACAACGAAAGAGTGCGCACCATCTTCATTACTATCCATCCACGCGTCAAACGCTTCAAGTTGGCGGCTACGACTCCCTTTGGAGTCCGACAACAACACCAAACAACAAATCAAGATCAGTATGCAAATGCATGATACTGTCCTCTGCTTGCGACAGCAGACCGACCAACGATGCGTCAAAAGCGGGCCAAGACATACCGCAAACTAATGCATCTGTATTCCATGTCTTTTGGATTCAGACAGCCTTATCAGATTCTTGGTATGTCCATAGTGTGACAAACAGTTGCATCGCCCTAAGTCCTTTCATAGTGGACTCAGAAATGTGCCAAATAGCTATAGATGCAAAGCTGGATCTCATCAAACAGTTTTCTACCGTACTCCAGGGAAATGTGAAGCCAAGTGAGTCTTCTCGCACGCCCGCAATGTCGTTTGCTAAACGTCTGACAAGTGTATTTTCAGTGATCACGCAATGCTGTATGCACGAGCTGTATCTCCAAGGAAAAGCGCGGCAACCTGCCGTTGACCTCGCAAAGACATTCGAACGCCGCAAATGCAACCATCGAGAGGCTATCCCTGGAGACGAATGCCTCTCGGGTGTAGTAGGTGCGCACCGTCCCATCTCTATGGTCCCTCACAGGATCTGATTACTGTACCTGCTCATCAAGGGGATACCAACAAGCACCGGTATGTGGTCGCTACGCAATCGCAATCCCTGCGCAATGGACTGCGCATCATACCTGCGGTGCCTGTAATTCATATAAATCGTGCGGTCATGGTACTCGAGCCACCGAGCGGAGCTACGCTGAAAGCCAAGGAGCTGGTAGGATCTCTCGAAATACAATCACGTCTAAATTTAATGTTGCTGCTAGACTGAAAAACAATCGCTTCGTCCGTCTGCCCCAGAGCTTGCAACCGTACCCCGGGATAAACCAATGTCAAAGAAAAGGAAGGGCCCAAAGGGACCCAATCCTCTGAGCGTCAAGAAGAAAAAGAATTCAAATCCAGAAACCTCTACCCGACCTTCGCAAAAAACCAAGGCCGAGTCATTAGATACTTCCTCGAGCACTGCTCAATTGTCAGGGCAGAAACGGAAACGTGATGTTCAGGATGATAAGTGCGAAGAACAAAGTGTAGGGGTGACCAATGCGGCCCAAAACACTGCCTCGACCAGGACGAGGAAAAGGCATAGAAAGGCTCCTCCCCTTTCCCCATCTTCACCGTAGCACATTTAGTTTTACATTATGTTATGGGGCTTATCCAGAAATGCTAACTCCAGGTGGAGGTTCTGCAAATCGTCGAATTCCACCGCAGGAACACGTATACATTCGAAGTATCATGGAAAGGGTAATGGTACAATCAATATCCGTAATCAGAGGGATGCCACGACAACGCCCAAACTAACAACCACCACGAAGACGTAGAACAAGGTGAAGGGTACTCTCCTTCTGAATGTTATAATCAGAGAGTGTACGACCGTCTTCCAACTGCTTTCCCGCGAAGATAAGGCGTTGCTGGTCAGGAGGAATGCCTTCTTTGTCCTGAATCTTTGCCTTCACATTGTCGATGGTATCAGATGACTCAACCTCCAAAGTGATGGTCTTCCCCGTGAGGGTCTTAACGAAGATTTGCATGCCTCCGCGGAGACGTAAGACCAAGTGAAGCGTAGACTCCTTCTGGATATTGTAATCTGAAAGCGTGCGACCGTCTTCCAACTGCTTTCCAGCAAAGATGAGGCGTTGCTGGTCAGGAGGAATGCCCTCCTTGTCCTGAATCTTCGCCTTCACATTGTCGATGGTGTCAGACGATTCCACCTCCAAGGTGATGGTCTTACCCGTGAGGGTCTTGACAAAGATTTGCATGCCTCCACGGAGACGTAGTACGAGGTGAAGGGTGGATTCCTTCTGGATGTTGTAATCCGAGAGTGTGCGGCCATCTTCCAACTGCTTTCCGGCAAAGATGAGGCGTTGCTGGTCAGGAGGGATGCCTTCCTTATCCTGAATCTTCGCCTTTACGTTGTCGATAGTGTCGGAAGACTCGACTTCCAAGGTGATGGTCTTACCCGTGAGGGTTTTGACGAAGATCTGCATGCCTCCGCGGAGACGCAAGACTAGGTGAAGGGTGGACTCCTTTCTGGATGTTGTAATCCGACAGCGTGCGACCATCTTCAAGCTGCTTGCCAGCGAAGATAAGACGCTGCTGGTCGGGAGGAATACTGCGACACGACGGTCAGCTGCTAGTCTCGATCTCTGAGATGGCATACGCACCCCTCTTTGTCTTGGATCTTGGCCTTAACGTTATCGATGGTGTCAGAAGACTCCACCTCTAACGTGATGGTCTTGCCGGTGAGGGTCTTGACAAAAATCTGCATCCTGTAAACTCATCATCAGTCTCACATACATGTAGAAGCAAGCGATCAAGGACTAACCTGAAGCTGAGAGTATGAGGAGGTTGTGAGTGTTGGTGAGATGTTAACGTTAATGACACTAGGTGAGTAATGTGTTTATATACTACGGAGCGGAGTTTAAATGACCCCATACACGCCACTGGACCACAGCCCACCTAATTGTGGTAGTGTCAAGTGCACCGCCGACAGGCTATACTTACAGCACATACGCCACTGGTCTACCATCCTTTCCCGGAAATTTCTGCTGAGCCCACATCTTTGCTGAGATTAGTAATATCTTTGCTATAACATACTGTGGGCCGCCCAAGTCAACTATTCTTGTTTTCAATAATAATGAGATCCGGTGTCTTCGTCAAACTGCACATTTTGAACGAGTCAACTCATTCGTCATACCACAACCTAATGGTCAGGTCTTTCTCCATTGAAGCAGAAGCCACGATGTTACGAACAGGATGAGTCTGATTGGTAATTTCAGTCTATGACAAGCTTATGCCGAGGCTTTTCTTACCGCAATTGCTAAGACAGCATCTGCGCAAACCACATCAGCCATTGAACACAGTGGAACTAAAGAAATGTACCTCTATGGCCCTCGAGGACCTGTAGCACTTCGCGACTCTGCAAATCCCATATATATATCTTGGCGTCCTCGCTACCACTCACTACGTATGATCCCCGAGTGGTGCTGAAGCAAGTGAACAGACAATATGTCCTGTTGGTGTGACCAGTGTACGTTTTGACGCAACGTGTCTTCTGGTAGTCCCAAAGCCTGATTGTCGAGTCCTGGGTTGCTGATAGGATAAATTTCGAGTTGGGAGAGAATTTGACATGTGAACTAAGAGCACCGAGTCAATACCACACGAAAGCATGACGAAAAGCATTCACCATATGGGGTTATCGTCATCAACAATAGTCTTCAAACACTGTCCGGAGTCAGCATCCCAAATTCGTCTACATTTCGTCAGAGAAATACCTTGCAACAGCCTGATGTACTTACATCAGTCCATCCATCGCGCAGGATACTATAAGCGTTCCGTCGTGATTAAAACTGACAGCAGTCACAGGATCAGAGTGGGCAGGAAGAACTTTTAAGGATTTCCCTAATAATCGTTCGGCTTATTATCAAAGTATAAATCAAGTCGACGGACCTCTTGCTACATCCCAGACGCGAACAGTTTCATCATATCCCCCGGTGACCATAAGGTTAGATCGGGGATTGAAGTTGACGCAAAAGACGAAATTGGTGTGCCCTAGTAGGGTTTTCACAGCAGAATTCTGAAATAAAAGGTTTAATAGGCGGGCGGGACCGAAATAGAGGCAGCGCACCGTCTCTAAGCTCCAAAGTATAATACTTTTATCATCCGATGCGGAGGCAAGAAGTTCCCCATCGTTGGACCAGGCGATATCATTAACACCCTCAGTATGGCCTTCGAAAGTTCTCAGTATTTCCCCTGAGTATGCATCCCACAGCTTCACGAGTTTGTCCGCGGCTTGCTTCCAAAGTTTTCAGGGTCGACAGCGCGCAACTATTTAGTAGGGCAAAGAGGCGCACCTGATGAAGCAAGCATGGTGCCGTCTGGACTGAACTTGAGGGAGGATATTGCCATAGTGTGTCCGCTCAGAATGTACTTTACTGCATATTGTGGCCTTGATTTGTCTGTCTTCGGCGTTGGTGCATCTGGAACAGGCGTAGACTGCATGCGCCCGTTCGGAAGATGATGACTTGAAGTTGTTTCCTCGACCCCTTCGTCTGAGCTCTCATTTGACACAACAGCATCAGTTTGCAGGGTGTCTCCGTTAGGTCCGTTCATCGAATAATTGTCTTCGGTTGTCATCAGCAACTAAAAAGTTGCTGGGTGAATAAAATGTGAGTTCTCAGTTTGCTAGTACTACGTACCTGCACAGACGATGTATTACTATTGAAAAGGACTCATGGTCCATGGATCAATCATTAAACGAAGTCCCGGTGTCTGGGGTCTATCGACTTTTTAGTTTTTGCGCTTCCACTACACATATCCTTCAAAAAACAACGCGACGATGGCAGCAACAGCAGCGTGGCTTGCGCCTCCTTCACGTACAGAGCTTATTGAAAATCTAGTATCTGGTGTTGGTGGGTAATCATAAATCCTTCACAATCGATCTGGCATTCATACGCAATCACAGACCGTTACAACCCATCAAATGTTGGCATTCTCGAGGATTACCTCTACCACCAGATCCGCAGTGAGGAATATGACTGCCTTGCTAACCTGGCTATATTGAAGCTGTAAGTTCTATATGATTCATCTTGGAAGCTCAAATATCGATACCTTGCTCGCAGCTATCAATTCAACCCTGACCTTTTCAATCCTGACGTTGTCATTAATATCCTACTCAAAGCTCTTACAGCAGAGCCTTTTCCAGACTTCAACCTCTGCATATCTCTCCTCGATGATCGGCCACCAAATTCTGCGCTCGATGAGCCCGACCCATTGCCTACGCTTTTACCGCTTCTCATGAATCTCTACAACCTTCTTCACCAGTGTCGTTTCTCCGCGTTTTGGGTACTGTACCGGTCCGATGAGTTGGAGGTCATAAGAGAGAATTATACAGTGGAGTGTGCAGGGTTCGAAGATGCCATCCGGGAAGTCGCCGCGCGATCAGTAAGAGCTACTTTTACGCGTATCAACAGCGAGAGGTTGGGAACCTATGTGGATCTGTCAGGTTTGCTATGAGCCACGCGTCGCTTCCGTTCAACTTTTGATATTTTTATAGGACCAGAGCTAGAGGCATGGGTCGCAAAACAACGATGGACGTTTGATTCATCGACTGGCGTGGTCAGCATACCGCCAAACCCTGACAATCAGATTGAATCGGTCGTCATTCAAGAGCATATCAAACTTCCACGTGAGTCCCATTTGCTGCAACTTTTGGACCGTCATCAATTTATTTGATTATTTGTAGAGCTCAGCAAGGTCATTTCGCATACTGTGCAGGTCAAATGATGACTTGCCACAATATGCGTGTACATTGTACATTACTCGCTTAATATGATGTCGATGGATGTGATGCAACAGGACGACGATGTATAGTACGTATCTGCGTGATACATCGAGAAACGCAAGGGGAAAAAAATGAAGTTTGAGACTCAAAGCGCACTAATGAATTGCCAAAGGGATATCCGTCTGCATCTCTCCGAAACCAACGAGAATTTCACGCTGTCCAAAATGCAGCGAGCGTACCCCAAGTTGCCATCACAGTGGCTATTGCGAGGAATGAAGCATCAACCAAACTACACCTTCCCTCCAGGGCAATTTTGGCCGATATAGGACCAATGACGCAGATCATGAAGGCCGAAAATGAACCGAGGAAGGCCATAAGGGAGCTAAACTCTGGAACGAGGATCGACACCAAAATAGACAGCGCAGGGACAGATATGCGCTCGACAATGAAGAATGTACGATTCAAAAGCCGATGAGCGGTAGAAAGTTGTGTGTCCAGCTGGGGTTTGATACCGCCCTGCAATGGTGCATGATTATCTATACCGAGCATGATTTCGAGGATGACATTGAGCTAGATGGATGCTCATCAGTGTTCAGTTCTCTAGGACAAGTGCATATCACTCACTGGCCGCGTGCTGAGAGGAAACTTTGTGCTGTTGACAAAAGTGTCAGTGTTAGCAAAGATGGGCAACTCCTGAAACTCACATAGGGGTTGACACCAACGTCCACAGTGCGATTTCATTGATCCATGAGGTATAGCCAGGAGTGTTCATGAGGTCCTTACTGACCTAAATGCGTCGTCAACGTCTCGGGTTGTCATCCAAAGGTTGAGATTATAAAGCTCACTTCGTCGCTCACGTTCCGTCCAAACATCAAATACCCAGCATAACCGATGATCCCATAGATGAATGTGGTAACGATCTATTGAGATCGGGAAATGGTGAACAATAAGTTAGAAACCGTAGCAAATTTACTCACGAAGGCCCAGTTGATCATATTATCAAACTCGGAAGGATCAACCATATCACGGGCCAGCGATGGTATTACAGCATGGCCAGAGAACTGAAACATTGACAATAAGCGACATGTCTCAGGAACCGTATGGGAGATGAGACATACGCCAGCCATAAGCAAGCCAAAAGCAATTCCAAGCTCGGTCATGGAGCCAGTCCCCCATGACGTCACGGCCGGACTCCAGAGACTACCAGGAGCATCTGGCTTAGAAAAGCCATCTATGAAAATGACAGCAATGATAAGGAGCGTCGAACAGATGCCAAATATCGATGTATAAGAGAGTATAGAGAGCGGTAGAAAAACCAGCGGTGCCAATCTATCGTTGAAATGGTCAAAGAACCATGAAAATTATGTTGACAGCATCAGGAAGTAACGCTTACACGACTATGGACGCGATTTTGAATGTGTTTGAAGAATACGCTGGCATGATTTCGTGCATGGAGTCAGCGGCTAGAGTGACGAAAGCAACGCTAAAGAAACATGAACAATATGACCAAGTCATTTAGAAAACACGCTGACCTGACGGCAAAAAGCTCAAGACAAAACATAATCGTAGTCAGGGCAATTGACTTTGGACCAAACGCCTTACGACCAATGTCGGCGTATGACCTCAGACGAGGGTCTTCCAAGATGATACCAGCAAGAATCTTAGCACTGTTGCGTGCGGTGAGTGGGAGAATATAAGTAGATAGTGCGAGTTCAACTGACGTATAACAATTCAAGAAGCCCATAAATACAATGAGAGCCGTTCCACCGATCCAACCAGCATATGCGAAGGCTAGGGGCTCGGATAACATTCCAATGCCCAATAATATCGCGATGCTGTTGAATAACTGAGCGATCAATCGCAATTAGCAGATATATTTACGATCGAATGATAACACCTACTGTCTGCCCGTAGGTACTTTGTCCTCCGTAGTTGTGTGGTTTCCTCAGGGTACCTGACGACTTGCGCCGTAGTATAGACCGATCTGTTGGGCCATGCGATTCTCCACCGACGTACGCGTCTGAATCAGATCCCCCATAACTGACTTGATTAGATGTGGGAGATGCTTGCAGTAAAGGAACAGTTTCATCACTGGTTGATTGAGCGAGTGGACTTCCGCCAGTAGCAGTGATTTCCCGTGTCTCAACAGGCCGTTGGGGGATAAAAGTTCGTGCACGTTGTAAGACTGGACGCGACGTTTCGTCCCAGTCCCAGAACTCTGTCATGTCATCCCTGGGTATTGGAACTAACTCGCCTTCCTCGTCATCTTCTCCAACACGAGCCTCTTCATCCGACCCCTCATCAGAAAAATGAGCATTATATGGTATATTTGAACTGGCAAAAAATTGCGAGCGACGGTCTGCATTTGGAGTAAGACTAACTGTAGATCAGTAGGAACAATTTTAGTACGCACATGAAGCGATAACGCCCCTCATGCTGCCTGTAGAACTATCCACAGAGCTAGAAGTGAAGGGTACTCCTGCACGCGATGTGTAGGATGTCATATCTGAATCTAGGATACTGTTTGGTATGTGTCCAATGACAAGGACACAAAGTTTTAAAGGTCGCGTGCGGTTGTTCGGAAAATACTATTGAACAGTAATCTAAGGTTCAATAGGAGATCCGGGCGAAGGCTGACGGAATAGATAATCAGGAAGCAATTGCGGCCTGCAGGAAATTTTATTGTCGGTTCTAGATGAACGGCCGAGCCCTTTGGCGATCACCATAGTAAAGAGTAAAAGACTAAAGTTATTGTGTGATGTGTAGTGCTACTTTTATTTGCCCTCAATCTGAAAATATACCATTCCATATTTAGTTGGTAAATATATATTTTTACACTCGCTTTATTATTTTCATCGAGAGGTATTTCCCGAGTTAGTATGTGCTTATTTGACAAGGCATAACACCGCCGCAAGGAATGGAATGTTTACAGAACGGCACATACGTACATTACACCGAGTTAACAGCTCTTCGATTTGTCCACATCATGTAAGGCTCGCGAGAGACATCGTGACCAGAAGGTTTAGTTCGGGTGCTGCGTCTGGCTTCAGGAAGCTTTGCACTGATGTTGAGATCCTGCTCATAATGATTAGACAGTGGTGGTTGTCGAGATCTCTAGTACCTACAGAGATGCGTTTGCGCATGCCAGGAGCGATATGACTCCACCACTTTATGAATGAATTCTTCAGGGCTAGTTCCCGGACACCCTTAGGGTTTAACCAAGCAAGGAACTCGTCGAGCTGCAAAGCCAAACGATCAACGGCGATCAACAAAATGATAGATAAAGATTACCTCTTCAGGCTCAGCATACTGTGCCCACTCGGATGGTGCCAACATTCCCTCTGGCCCTTCTTCTTCAAGCCTCCTAGTTTCATAGTCATCATCCTCCTTCTTTAACATCAACTCTAAATCCATCTCGCTCGGGCCCTGTATAAAGATTCGACCAGTTCCGTACTGGACAACGCCTCCACTGCCCAGCAAAGAAGCAGATCCCATGCCGTCAAACCACCAAATCCGATTATGGAACCGGTCCTTTCCCAATGGTTTGATTCGCACCGCACCAAGCAGCTTCCTGAACTCTCGTTCAATCGCCTCTAATCGACGCTCAAGCTTATTGACCTCTTCATCAAGTCTGCGATGTTCTGCCAGTGCTTGTTTCGCAGAGGCTGCTTGAGCACGAGCGAGCTCGCGTTGCTTCGCGTGTGCCTGAGTGTGGGCTTTCTGACGAAGATCTTTCTGACGCGCTGATCTCTTTTGGCGAGCACTAGAAGTAGATGCGGTCTCCGAGCCATCTTCTGAAGGAACGTCCGAAAGATCACTGGATTCGTGCATCGTGGTATCTTCGTCTGGAACGGTACCGTTGGTTCCGGGCTCCTTCACCTCCGTTTCCCCGGCAAGGGAATTCATTTCCTCGGTACTGAAAAAGGACGTTAAATGGAAATACCACCATGCGTCAACGCGAACTCACTACTGCTTCTTCTGGCGGCCAATCTCTATTTTCTCCTTGCGAAGGGCAGTTAACTGCTCTTCGCATGACTCCATATGGGAATGAACTGCCTTGCTTGATACAGCGAGATTGCACATCAAGGTAAGGATATCAATCCTGTCGGCAGGAGGCAGCGCATAGTAACGCTCGCTGGGTGAGGATTGAACAGTCAGGTTGTTTGCAGCAGGACTTGAAACACGAGAGCTTGAAGATGAAGACGAAACTTCTGCATGTGGTTCTGGGGCAAAGAGTAATCTTGTCAAGACTTCTCGTAGGCGAGGAAAGTTGTCGAGTGTGGCGTGCTATCAGAAATGAGCATCGAATATGAACAATAGGCTGAAATCACTCCACATCTTTCAGGCATCCTAGAAGAGCCTCCTCCCACCCGTCTCGCATCTCATTGTGCCGTAAGGGAATCCGTTCCCAGTTGTTCCCCACGTCAGCCATGGCACCAGCTAACTCATCGATTGAGACACTGAGTACTCGGTGCTCTTCTTCCAGCGTATCTTGGAGACGCAGTAACGACAGGACAGCACTATGCCGAGTAAATGGCACTGTGCGTAGGTTGTAAATGAGCGTTGAGTGAATCTCTCCTAGTAGTGCACAAGGCGGGTCTACGAGGGAATGCCGCAAAGCATGTTCAAACTCATCCATCGTAAATGTTGACAAGTGGAGAGGTTGTCTGCGGTAGACTGTTAGATATTCATATGTAACAATTTGCGATTGTTCACTCACCCATAAATGACCAGAAAATTCCATGACGTTAAAAATGCTTCAAAAGTACCCTGATTCTCGCCAAACGGAACTCCCAATTTACTTGGCGTTGGCTTTTTGACCTTCAAACCTGCTTTCTTCTCCTTGTCGTTAAGCCGAACATCCAGATCTTCAGTAGGGTAGCGAATGGGTTTCTTTTTCTTCTTCTCTGCAGCCAGACGCTCAGCCTCTTCTTTTGCCTTTTGTTGACGCTCAGCCTTTTCGCGAGCTTCGCGCTCTCGTTTTTCAGCTGCAACAGCCAAGGCTTTCACTGTTACAGGACTCAGCGCCGAGTATTATCCAGGATAGAGCGACGTTACCTCTTTCCTCCTGAGCAGCAGTCATCTTTTTCTGCTTCTTGGTTGGTGGTCCTTCCTTGTCCTCCCATATCTTTTTACGCTTATCAATCTCACCACGTTTGATGTCTTCAACACCTTTGCGTGTTTCTTCTGGCATCACGGAGTCGACACCATAGTGCTTCGCGATGACCGGTTTCACCGTCCATGGCGAGGCGACGGCAGCATCACGATCAACACAGTCACGGATAAAGCGACGAAGAATAGACTTCGAGAATGCAAGACGATCGCGGCTACAAGACCTAGTCAGTTTTGTTCATGTTGGGTTAATGGGGCCACAAACCTCATGACACTGCACTGCACATCCATGAAGCTACCGCTCCACTTGGCTTTATCTTTCGATGCTGCCTTTCCTTTCTCGTGACTCTTCTCATGTTGCTCTTCAAGTATCTGGACCTTGTAGGAGTACTTAAGGGGGTCATCGCGGACCAATGCTTCCTTCGCTGGGATCTTCAAGTCTCCACCAACCTTATGGATTTGAACTGCGTCATCATCAACAATTGCTTGAGGTGGAGATGTCACTGATGAAGATGAGGCTTGATTTTCGGCTGGGACATCGACATCGTCACTCTTGGTCTTCGGGGGATGCACTTGCACAACTTTCGCGTAGAACCTGGCGAGATACATGTCAGTTACAGGGGTAGAGGCCTTAAATATAGTGCACGAACTTGTCGCCTTGCGCGTCAACGAACACCTCTGACGTCGCGTGAAAGGATGGGATGAGTGCTAGGGTAAATTGACGTTAACAAACCGACTTACTCTCATCCACAAAATAGCGGTCCTTGAACCGGTCAAAGACAGCTTCTACGAGGTGGTCTAGTCGACCTACGACCTCTACAAATGACAAATATGATCAACGTTCTTCGAGGTCAACAGATAGTTCGCTGAGAAAAGACGCACGCCATTGGACAGCCTTGAGGACAGCGGCTTTCAGAGGCTCAGGGAACCTGGAATGCATAGTCTGTGCCTCCTGTTGTTCGCTTTCAAGCGCCTGGAAGTAGTCAAGGCCGCTCTTTCCTGTGACCTCGCACTGGAATTGCTTAAGCCTGTAAAATGACATCCTCGCAGCGTAGGCCCTGAGGAGAACATGGTTGTAGGAGACATTGAAAAAAGAAAAGGTTTGACAAACTCATAAGTTTCAAATATCTCGCCAGTTTGCTGTAGATAATAGACCTCCTTGTTAGGGTTGGACTTTGCAGCCTGGAGAAGAGCCTCGGATGGTTCTGTGAGGACGACACGTTTGCGTCTGCATGTTGGCATTGTGGGGAAGGATTGTTGGAGGACAAGGGCGAAGATGCAAGAGGCGGGAAATAAGAGGGAACGGCCGCGGGTGGCTATTAGGGAGGAAACGAATGCGTGTAGCGGTCCCTGTGCATTTTTGCATCTCTGCCTCCGTCTTATTACACAAGAGACGCCAACTTCAACCAAAGTTTTTTTTTGCACGCTCAGCATTAAACCTTTCTCTGACGACTGTCACGTTTCATTAACGACAGTTAGTACTTAGTAGAATCAATCGCTCTTATTCATGTTAACGGCAGTCCACCCGTGTCTATCGTTGTGTCACGGGAAGGCTCGCACCTCGAACACCATGAATCATTCCGCCGAACACCAAAGACGCGGTCAAGCTTTTTCTCGCGCCAGTTGGCAATGGGATCCCCTCTGAATGCCATGGATTTTACCCATCGACGTCAGCGTATGACCGTGACGCCCGGTCTTCCGATCTTGGGCTCATTGCGATCTTTGCTTTGCCTCGAGACGTAGTCCTTGTCCTACGTCAATTTATGAATGACTACTCCACCGCAATTTTGTCACGATTAAGACACTTCCAAACCTTCCTTCGCAGGAACTTTCATTTAATTTGTTCCATGCTTGTGCGCACTGTAGGACCACAAGTACATCCAAGGGGATGTGGCTGGTATTCACGTGATCCGGCATGTGGTCAAACGCGTATGTTATGCACCGACACGCCACTAGGCTACTCGCTGCGTCAACGAGGGAGAACTGCCAAACATTAATAACCACATGCGATAAGAGTATTTGAGGAAATGTCCATAGTGAAGAATATTAATGATCAAGTGATGGAGAAATAAATCTATGTTATGCCGGTCCTCTATACTAGTAAGATATCACGCACGCGCAAACACCAGAAGCCGAAATTTGTATCTCTGAAGTCATGTGGTAGAGTAACGCGAATACAGCAGTGCTCACTTCACCAACTTCTTTAGTAAGCTGGTCGGAAGAATTGAGGAGAGCAATAACATAAGGCACGAACAGGCTGTTGTTCTGAAGCTGGAAACAGCTGCCATATATCGCGCCGTTTATGCACGAGAGACTAGTAATCGATGAGAAGTCGATGCGGGTTCGCTTGAATAACATCCGGAATGCGTATGGTCTCGTCCCTGTGATAGCA